AGGAATTGCTGGGCCTTGTATTGCCCTCGCAAGGGAAACTCAGTTGCCCAGTTTGGACCCAGAAACAAAAAGGTGAAAACCTTTTGGGGCCATGACTCAGAGTGAAGTAAAACTTTCTTCTGTAGCCTATTTTAGTAGGGAAACCCTCCCAACCCAAAAAAAGGTGAGACAGGGCACTACAGGGGGACCTAGGAAAGGAAAAACGCACAAGGTCCGATCCGGTCGCTTCGCTTGGGGGAAGAACCCCAAGCATGGGTAGGGTTCTTTCGGGAAAGCCAATGGAATGGGACACCTGCCACTACACGAAACTTGGGGTATAATTGCTGTATATATATATATATATATTTGATATGGGTATCTCTCGAGGGGGTCCTTTTTGGATCGAAACAAAAGTTAGACGAGCAATACGTGGATTTTGGGAAACCCACGTTTGCTAGTTCCCTCATTTTGAGACATCCCAGGTTTTTGGAGACCAAAGGGCAACCCTCAAAATTTGGGTGTCCATCCGGTTTTGCCAGTGTTTAAAGGTATCTTTGATGAATGGAACCAAAGTGGACACCACTCCTTTCATGGATTGTTTTTTGCATCGCCCCAAAAAGGACGTTTGGAACTCGTCAGATCGCTGATCGGTGCCCCCGCCACAGCGCGCCCAGCGCAGGCACCTGGCCACCGGGGCCGCCCGAGAGGTGCGAGAAGAGCACCACGCAGCAGCCGGAAGAGCCGGGGCCTGGCCAAAGCCCTTTCTTTTGTCATGCTTTCATGTGATTTGCCTACCTTGGAAACCCCAAACCGAGAAAAAAAACCTCTTGATCCAATCAGAGTTGGCTTTTGGTCGTGTGCCATGTTTGGCGTGTCCGGTTATTGTTTCCAAAATGGCGGTTTTTGTTTGCTTTTGGGGGACATTAAAGGTTTTGACCATGTGCCATATAGCATATGGAGGCTTATATACCATCTGGGTGTGAATTTTCATGGGCCCCGGACCCTTTGGTGGACATCATTTAGGTGGGGATATTATTAAGAGGAGTTTTGCCTGGAAGAAAGGATTCCCCATGGGGGGTATTAATCAGGAGTCAACATTGTGGAGTGTCAGACTTAGGGCCCCTTTTTGGGGCGGCACAAGGCATCAGGGTCCAAAAGGCGTCAAGGCTTCGGAGGGCCGAAAGGGCTGGAGGGTGGACGAAAGGGCTGGAGGGCAGCTTGGCTGGCGCGCAGCTTCCGCGCCAGGCGCAAGCACGTTGTTGGCAAGGGCTTGAGTTGTATTGCGTTCTGTGTTCTAAGGCTCTAAGGGAAGGGGCCTGAGCTATTAAACAAAAAAATATCACACTACCTCCAGGGCCCGTGGGGTCGTGAGGGTGGCCCGGCCAGTCCTGGGCTGCTTCAGGCCCAGGCACGATATACTTAAATGTCGTTGCCGTATCACATAACGCGTTCAATATGCAGCGCATGGATGTCATCTCCCTAGTCAACCCATTGGATCCACGAGAGATATGAAACTGCGAACCAGTGTCCTTCATTGCGTCCTTCTTTGCTTCCTTCCTTCCTCCCTCCTTTCTTTTCCTTTTATTTTTGTCCTTTTCTGTCGTCCTTTCTGGCGTCTTGCGTGCGTGATCACGGAAAACATTCGCTGCATGCACTCACCGCACCAAAACAAAAGCACCAGCTTGGTCCTCAGGGCCACACACCAAGAAGGCCACCCATACCCTGCAGCCGCACATCTGATGTGTGTCTTGAACCCAGGCGCTCCAACACTTCCAGCTGCTACTTGACTCTCCAAGGCGGCAAGCGGAAGGCTGAGCTTGGCAAAACCGCCAGCTCTCCCGCGGAAACTCGCCCACCCCAGCGACGTTCTGGTACATCCCCGTGGATTGAAATCTGCGAGCCCCATGCGAGCCTACCCCATGCACCAACCTAGTTCCCAACTTTTTGAGTTGTTAAAAGGGAAACCAAAGCAAACCTCAAATGGCGGTGTCCTTTAAACCCTCAAAACAAACGCGCAAACACACACACACACACACACACTTTGGTTTGGTTACGCCTCCCGAGAGAGGATGCAGTCACGTTGCTTGTCGTACTCCTTGTGCATGATATCGTCCGGCGCTTAGTGGGAGAGAAACAAAGAGGAAACAGACAGCGCCTTTTCAGGGACCAAAGGGAAGGGAAAAGCCTCACGTGCAGGTACGTTTTCACAGGGTCAGGGGGGTGTCTTCGTTGGCCACCGACCCCCCTGACCCCCGGTGGCCCCCTGCATTTAAATTTCAGATGAAAAAATCTCTTGGACCTCAGAGTGTGCACACACACGCACGCCATCCGTGACGGATGGACGCCCGACTCCCGCTTCGCCTCGCTATGCTCCTGTTAAGGGCGGAGCTGCCCGTGACTCCCCACTTTGCCTCGCTATGCTCCCGTTAAGGGCGGAGCTGCCCGTGCCTTAGTATTCCACCTGGCCCCCCTGAGTGTCAGGGTTGCACGCACACACCCCGACAGCATAGCCGGAGAAGCATCGAAGCCGCATCCTGAACAACGCAAAACTGCTTGAGTCCGTTGCTCTGAATCACGCCGTGCTCCCGTTAAGGGCGGAGCTGCCCACGCCATATTTAGCACAGGGTTGCACAATTTGGTATCAACCGTTTCTTGTTAGTCGATGCAGGTGACCGCCAGCCATTGTGATGCCAGTCCTGCCATGAATTGCCCTGGCTTTGGTAGCTCCGACTCCACCATTGCGACATATTGGCAACGATGGCTCTTTTTCTTCTTTTTGAGCAGTGCTGACAGCTGCTGAAAAAACAACTGTCCTCTGCCCGGCTTTTGGCTGAGATGTTAATGTCAGACGTAGCATCAAGACGGAGCTTTATCGAAGAATAATGTCAGACGTAGGACTTTTTTGGTGCAGAAAAAGGTAATTTCAGAAAAAGGTGAAAACAGGAGTCAGCTCCAGTAATATCCTGGAGAATATTGGATCGTGGTTCTTACTGAACCTGACGACAGTGCCTTTGACAGAACCACTGCCGGTTAACACACTTTGGTTACGCCTCCCGAGAGAGGATGCAGTCACGTTGCTTGTCGTACTCCTTGTGCATGATATCGTCCGGCGCTTAGTGGGAGAGAAACAAAGAGGAAACAGACAGCGCCTTTTCAGGGACCAAAGGGAAGGGAAAAGCCTCACGTGCAGGTACGTTTTCACAGGGTCAGGGGGGTGTCTTCGTTGGCCACCGACCCCCCTGACCCCCGGTGGCCCCCTGCATTTAAATTTCAGATGAAAAAATATATTGGACCTCAGAGTGTGCACACACACACACGCACACACCATACAGGCGGCTCAAGGCTTGCCAGTGCATTTGACCATAAAATAAACACAGTACAGTATGTCGAGACCACCCCACTTGTGGAAGCTTGACAATCCAACTAACATGCTGATCAGTCCGAGGCTTTACCACAACTACTTCCGTTTCCTGAACAGGTTTCCCTTCAGAATTGGTAAACTCAGACCCCAATGGATGGTCCTCTGAGGGCCCCTTCTTTACTCCACGAACCACGAACAAATCAAGGTGCACAATCTAAGCAGGAAGTGCATTGAGATTGAAAAAAACAGGAGCTGGGCTGTCCGTTTTCAGATCCCCTGCTAAAAGTTTTCAACTTGTAGTGAGTTGAATGGAAACTACCACTAAACCCTGAAAGCCCAAAAAGCCCAAGCAAATGAACCGGACAGTGAACCACCAAGCAAAAACTTCGCTCAGCCCTAAAATCGAAAAAGAATCATGCTGGAGGAGACTGGTCCCAGAGCGGAACCAAAAAGGTGGTCTAGGAACTCAGAGAGTGAGTGCATCATTTCGGAGGAGACCCCAATCAGGCAGATAAAACTTCATGTGCCCATCTCCCATTTGCTCAAGTGTCCCAGGCCGCTCTTGGTGTTTTCTTCTGGCTTTCCGATAAAAACACCAGCCCAAGGGTTTCAGACACCTCCCAGTGGCTCCTTTGCTCACTAAATGGCGGCCAAGCCAATCCAAGCGCCCATCCAAGCGAATTTTTGCTTGACCCAAAAGTCACGCAGACCTATCTTAGACCTTTTGGTGTCTTTCTTTACCCTTCCGACAATCATGGCGGAACCTGGGGGTGTCGGAAGACGCTGTCGCCCTTTTCGTTTCGAGCCTTCGGGAATCCACTTCCATTGGAGTCTCGGAGGGCAACCCGAAGAACTTTGGCCAGCCGTGGTACTCACTTGCTGAGTGGATGGCCCAAAAAAAGGTCCAAACTTTACATTCACCACTAACATTGTCTTCCCAAAAAGTTTTTTAAGTTTATGACTCGGGGGAATTGAGGGTAACACAAAAAGAGGGGCCCAGCGCCACTCGGCCGTGCTGGCCGGGCTTGCGCCTGGCAGGGCCAGCTGCCGAAGCTGGCGCCAGCTCCAGGCGAGGCGCCACCTGGACCCAGAGATCTAAGGACAAATTGTTGCTCCCCTACTAAACAGGGTTGTGGCAAATGACCACTTCTGTGATACAACAAAAAGGGCTTCCCAAAGACTAACACCCCCATATAAAAGGGGGATATTCCCTTGTATCACAGAAGTGGGAATAAACCCCTTGATCTGCTCCCCAAAAGTTTAACTTTTAGTGGTTTAATGCGAACCCATTAGTTGGCCATGGGTCAAAAGCCGAATCGTACCCCCAGTGAACATCCCAATCAACACTAAACCAGACTGAAATGGGTGGTGCACCTACCCTAAAATGGTACCATTGGTTTTGACCCACAGCCAGTTGGCAAAAAGTTAAAGTCCTAACATCCAAGCAAAATGCGCCGAAGAAAACCTGGGAAAAACGTGGGTGAAAACCCTGAAAAAACCAGCAAAAAAACACCTGGGGGAAAAACCTGGGAAACCCCTGGGGAAAACCTGAGGAAAGCTGGGAAAACCCAAGGAAAACCTGGCAAGTTTAGGGAAAAATCCCTGTGAAAACCTGAGGAAGGCCTGGGAAAGCATTGGAAAACCTGACCCAACTTGAAAATGGGGCTGAGATCGGAAATCCGCTGGCCAAGTTGACCCCCAAGTTGAAAACCACGGACTTCACCCAAAGTGTGTGCGTGGTCTCCGGATTACCTCGGCACCTGCCAAGCAAGACAAAGCTTCACCTCCGGCGAGATCCTGGGCCGCTTTCCATTCCTCGAAAGATGCCATCGGCTCTCCGGTTGTTTTTTTCAGGGCGGTGTCCAACGGAAAACCTGGCAAACACCGGGTGAAAGGTGAAAACCTGGGGGGAAACCCGAGGAAAACCTCGGGAAACCTGGTGAAACCTGCAAAAACCTGGTGAAAACCTGGCCCTGTTTCCCCCCCCAAACAAATTTCCCGCGAGAGCGCCGTGCCTGTGCGCCCAGCCGTTGGCGGAGGTAAAGGGTGCCAGCAGTAGGGAGAGCCCGTCCAGCAGAACCTGAGAGAAAAATGGTAGCTGGGTGTGGCAATTCTTGTTGAGGCTGAGCCTTCTAAGGCGGTGTTTAAAGGGAAACTGAAAGAAGATCCCATCTTTGTTGGTGCTTTTTCCTATTTGAAGACACCTTCATGTCTTTTTGAGGGTACCCTCGTGGGCCTGGTTCGGAAACCAACACGAAAACCCTGCCCATGCAAAAGCAGGCACCGTGAAGTAGCTAGCAAGCCGGAACCAGCTTGGGCAAGCTCGCACAGCCAAAGGCCCGCCAGACAACAGGAGGGTTGGCGAGTTTCTTTGTAGAAGTTGGCGAGTTTCTTCGCCTGGTGCTCAGCTGCCGTCCAGATTGTATTGCCGTTCCTTTTTCTTGGTTTCACAAGTCATACAAAGGAAGCCACCCACAAACAGGGAAACTGAAACCGCCGAAAAGGGAAATGATGTTAATTGTCTGGGGCCCAGCAGTTCAAAATGGGGGAGGGGAGTAGCGTTACTACGTGCAACAGGGGAAGCCGCGGCCATCTGAAATAAGGATTGAGGGTTGATCTTGAACCAACCCAGCTTCTACAGTCCTTCATTGTTGAATGCGTGCGTTGTAGTTGTGATCATTGGCGTCGGAAATTGGTTGGATATTGGCTCGTTTCCCTTCTACGTCAGGGCATGGATCAACAAGTCTGATGCCAGGGAAACCAGCCAGCCAAGCCAACCAGAACCTCCATTTGCGGATACGTCCCCTGGAAGAAAAACAAACATGCTCGCAGTGGTAGATTCCCTTTAAAACCAACAGGGGAAGATTTACAGTAACCATATTCTTAAGCAAATGGAAGACAAGCCAACCCCCTATGATTTGGGCTCCAACCCCAACCGTTTCGTCGTCAAGTGCCGGGCCCCCAGCCAGAGGGGCTGGCTCCTTGGGCTGCAAAGACTCTCCGAAGCCTAGGATGATCCTCGCAAAGTCCTGGGCGCTGTCGGCAACTTGCTGAAGCTGGGAGAAGAGGCGGGGCGCCGGAAAACAACACGGATATGAATTCGAACGGTGACCCTTTAGAGGACATCGTTTAAGTGGGCGTTTATGTCCACCAACCACTCCAAACTGAAATATTCACAGCCACACGCGCTCAAACTATGGAAGCTGACAGTCAGGAGGGAAGGTTACTACTTCCATGGGGACGCATGTCCAGGAATTTGATTTCGCACAGTGAGTCAAAGGAAACCCAATTTTGACCCGCACTGCTTCGGCTCGCGGAACCACCCACAAAAAAGGCTGCCAAGCGACGCTCTGAAAGAGGGGGCAGCCTTGGATGTGGCTTTTGTGGATCCATATAACAAAAGAAAAAGCAGTACAGAAAGGAGAAGAAGTGGAATTCGCAAAAAGCGCACCAGAGCGTTTTCTAGAAGAGTGGTCAAACCCACGGCCTATGACCCATGACTTAGCCATGTTGGGCGTGACAGCTGTGGTTGCAGCATCTGAGCTCGTGATGGAGCACGCCATTCTCCTCACAGCCTTTGGCATCTGCATGCTTTATTCACAGCATTCAACATGAGCTCCCTTTCAACCTCAATGCATTTGCTTTTGCATTGTACACACTTTTTGCGGGAGGGTCGTTTACCTTCCCCCAAAAGGGAGTCAAAACGCCAGCCTGCTTTGAACGCCATCAACTTGCTTTGCTGCTCAGCACCATCCACCCTCTTTCGGATCATGGGGACAGGAGGCGTGTTGCAAATGATGCCAGTCTTCAAAAAACCCATCTCAGCTTCCGATTCTTGGAGGGAGTGTAGCGCCTATTCCCCAAAAATGCCTGGCCTTGAACTCAAACCGCCCCGTGCTCAAGAAACTGAGCTTCTGTTCATGCGCATCACCAAACCTGACCCGTAGGCCATGGTTCTGGTTCCCTGAGTAGGAATCCTTGCCATCGTTAAATTCCCTATGGGGTTGATGACCATCCCCCAACCCGAACCAAAACAAGTTGATTTGACACCTCTTGAAGAGAGACTGGCAGCTACCTTCGGTCAAGGACAGTTGCAAGACACGCTCTTGCAACTCGTTCGCCAGGTTACTCACTGCTTGGTACGGTATGCCCTGTGTTTCGCTGCTTTGTGTTCGAAGAAGGCTGAGAAGGGCACTCGCGAACACGGCACTTTCACATGCTTCGAACAGCTGCGATTGGTGCCTTCATGCCCAACACAGCCAGCACCCGGGCACTTGACTGGAATGAGAAGGAAGCAAAAAGCGTCACCCTCCGCCTTTGGAATGGCGGCTGAAATGAAATGGATTACACTCAATCCTCTGGGCCAACTATTCTCCGTATTTGTGCCTGTAGCATGCCTGAGCCAAACAGAGTGAGGGACTGACTCAAGCCGCCTTCAGAAAAGCTCCGTCTTACATAGGTCGTCCAGGGGTTGTCTTCCACGCTCAAAAGCTGAGAATTTTTTGGGCTAGTAAAACGATCATTGTTTGCGGTCAACTCAAGAGCAACCAGCAGTTGAGCATCTTTCACTTGATCACTGCAACATCGATTAGGTTCACCGCCCGAAACCGAAACCGGCCGGAGTTCGATTCTGCGGGTTTGTGCCCCAAAGTGCAAATCTGGTTTGGCCGTCCACTTGCCAAAGCCCATTGGGTGTCTCTTTTGTTCGGGGACCCCCCACCCCCAGCACGACATCGTTATTTGCTTTTGGTTTCGCCGTAAGACCAACTCCCCTTCCTCCCACTACCGTAGCATTTGTGGGAGGGTACCTGGAAGAACTGTTTCCTCTTACCTCTTAAAGGGACCCCCTGTCAGGTGCCATGTTTGTGGGAGGGTAAACTCAGTTGCCCCAAGGGCCTGGAAAAGGTTCGCCTTTTGGGACCTTTACTTAAATTGGACCAACATGGGAAAACCGAAAGGTCAAAAGGTCGATTCGCTTTGGACACCTGAGTAAAGGAATCTTCCCCACAAAACGAAACGACCCAGCCGCTGGTGGCCAGGGCGCCGTAAAGTCGCCGGCACGGCAGAGCTGCACCCGCGCCAGGGAGCCAATGTCCTGCGGACAGGACCCCACCTTGCTGTTCAGGCAAGGTTGGGCCTGGGCGGGTTTTTGTGGTGGACAAATGTCTGGGGTTCTCTAGGGACAATTGTCCAGGTATGGTTCCCTGGTATGTTTCAACGCAATCTGGGTTGAACAGCCTTCCTTTTGGTCGCCTTTTGGTTTCCACAATTTGTTGCAACCGAGGGCCCACAAGGGAACCAGGCGCGTCACTTGCTTGCAAAGGCCGATTGCGGGTCCGTTTGAATACCCGACAACCACACCAGGAACCGAGAGGGACTATCCAGACCACATGCGAGTATGAGTTTCAAACATGAGGACACGTTGGACCAACTCACAGAGGAAGGGAGGTGGATACAATGGTGAGCTTTTTGGGAACTTGACTATGGCACGCGCACCTCCAATGTGTCAAAAGGAGACTGGGGATGCTTTGAAGGTGAGGCAACATGAACCACCTGGAGGGGTCCCGGGCTTTGCTTCACAAACTCCCGTCAGATTGAAGGCTTCAATGCATGCTGCGACGCCGTTTGGGCCATTTGGGCCGAGTGCCTGGTTTGGACTACGCACCTTGAGGGACCCCTTGACAAGTACAATTGGGGCGGAGCCTTTTTGAGGTTCTCACGAGCAGCTTGGAGGGTGTTGGCCTCCCGTTTGGAAAATCAATTGAACAGCTATGCAAGCGATTGATGTCATCAGTTCACGAAATAGGGGCCCTGGTTGAGCCTGTTGTACCACCGTGACCTTTGAGAGGGATTCTGCTTGAAGGCTCAAGCACCATCACACAAAAATCTGATTTGAGTCAAGTGGACTGAGGTCTGCCCCCACCCCCCCCCCCAAAAAAAAAAGACGAAGAAGTGCGCGCTGGGGTCCGAACGCTGGGATAAACCAAAAGGTTGCAGGAAAAAGCCGTGCCATCTGTTCATCTCTGTTGAACTTCTATTCTATCTGTTCGCCATAATTTTGGCCATCTTTCGCTATATTTGAGTCATAATCAAAACCAGGTACAAAAATGGTCGACCCAGAACCATGTAAAGAACTATTAAGGCGGCTGCAACTATTTCTGGCTGGAATCGTTCCTTACTCACCTTCATCTACCCGGGTTTTGATTGTGGCTCATGTGTTCTTCTCTTAGCCATGTTTGGGCCCGCCGGCCCGGCAGCCCGCCTGGGCCATGCATTGCAGGCGCTGCGCCAGGGCCGCCGGCGCGTCCTGGCGGCTGAAGCGCGTGGCTTCGTTGGGCGCAAGATGCGTTTTGAAGGGGACCCCCCCCAACAACGAAAGGAGGGTGGCAGCATTTTTCCATAAACCACCACCACCCCCAAACGGGAAATGGGTTGATTTCCTCTTGGTTTTCCGTTGAACCAGCAAGAAAAGGGGACCCTTCCTAAAATACACCACGCTCGTTTGTCTCAAGGGGGAAATGCCCTCAATGACGGGGTGCCTGTTGATTTCAATTGGAACCAACGTGAAAAGGGCCCCAAACAAACACAAATGTGGATTCTCTGCCCAGAATCTGGTGGTACTTGGGACTCCTTGGCTCCAGTTATGGAATCTGGGAGAGGGGAGGGTTTTGGACTGCTTTCCTTGAACCCATCGTTGCAAGAGTGGACATCGGCCTAAGGCTGCGAAACCACACATTCGATTCGATGTCTCTCACCCTTAAAACATGCCCATCGGTTCTTACAAACGGATCCCGCGCGGGCTGCAACCCACTGGGAGCCCCCAACTTTGGGCGAGTCGGCGAGACCAAGAATCCAACGGCTTCCAGTTGGTTTGTCCAACCCCAAACCTGCCGCTCTTAAGAAAACAAACCTCCGTTTTACCTGGTGGCCGATCTCCTGTGCATGGGTTAAATACAAAACCCTAAGAGCCTAGAAAGCCAAGGGGTCGGCTGGGAACCACCAAGAAAGCAGGTGGTAGAGGTGACATGCTTTGGAAAGGGCGGTTTGTTGGTGTTCGAAGAGCTGTTTGGGGGTGAACCAGCTCGCTTCATGGCCCCCAAAAAACAAAATGCCTGGGCCCAAACACAACACGAGGTGTTGGTTGCTTTCTGCTCCCCTGCTAAAAGTGACGAATTAACTTGTAGTCGTTCAATACGGAAAACCCCTCCGTTGGCAAAAAAATAGTTGAGGTCCTAACATCCCTCGGCAAACTGCACCAAAGGTTGGAGTTGCTGCCGTGGTCCTTTTCTCAAAGACCTCGCGAATCACCCGCGGAGCTCCCAAGTGGCGATTGCACCTGAAACCCAATTCCCCCCGAACGTCGGAAACCGCCTTTACACAAGGCGGTTGCGATTCAAAACCAGCAAACCCAACACAGAGACTCAAACATTTTGCTACAAGAGGGGTTGGTCACCAAAACCGACCACGTTTTTGTTTTCTTCCCACGCGGGGTCCCACGCTTCGCCTTTGCGCAAAAAAAAAACGGCGCCGAAACGAACCTCCGCCAGCGGCGCTTGCGCGGCGACTCGTCCGGCGCGTCCGCTTGCCTTGACGGCCACGAAGAGCACCCGGCGGCTGGGGGCCAAGGAGGCCGCCAAGGTGAGCGCCAGCTGGGTCTTGCCTGGCCCAGGAAATCACTCGAGCGACCGCTCGCGGCTCGCGGAGGCTCGCCACCGTGGCTGTTTTTTTTTTTTTTTTTTTTTTTTTTTTTTTTTTCGGTATCCCTTTCTTTTTTTGGGGGGGTGCTTGTCTGGTTGGGCTTGGATCAAAAAGGGAAAACCAAAAACGGAAAACGCAGCTGTGCATAGGGGCCCCTCTATTTTGACACAGCTGGTGTGCCAAAATGGGGGGAACCCAAACACAAATGGTTGGGTTTCTTCTGGTGTCCCTTTAAAACCACCAAACACAAAAGGCACCCTGTACCCTTGGCCCCCTTGAGGTTGGTACTTGAATGGAAGCAAAAGGACACCAACCATTTTAGGTGGCTATTTCAGAAACAGCCACATACCCGGTCAAAACCATGCAAGGTCTCCAAGATGACCTGGGAACTTTTGTGACAGTTCGTGAGCGCCCTCCTTTTTGTGGGCTCTTGTGGGAAACTTTGTGAGTCCACTGGTCTTTGTGAGAAAAAAACTGTGGGTGATCGGGGTGAGTGGTCCTTGCGGGAAATTTAGGGACTTGGTGGAATTTAGCTAGTTTTTCTTTTAGAATAAAAAACGCAGTGAGTGCCCCAATGTCTCTCCGAAAAGAACCACAAACTACTGGAAAGTTTGACCAGACCTCATGTGGTTTGTATAGGGGGCCCAAGCTGTGCTGTTTTCTTTTGGCTAACAACCCCTTTTAAAACGGCACCCCTTTAAGAAAGATACAGTGTAAAGGGCTCCCATGGTGAAACAAGCCGCAGAAACTCGCCGGACGGGTGTTTTTGGTGTTCTTGATCGAAATGTGGATAGTGGCCAGCAAGTTGCAGACACTCACGGCACTTGTTGCTTTCTGTTTGGTGTGTGAAAGGGATGGATATGAAAGGAAGGGAAGGCAGGGAATAGAGAAGAAAAGAGCCTGCATTCATAATCCTGCCTTATTCCTTTCCTTCTTGTCCTCATGCATCTCCAACATTCACAGAGAGGAGATAGCATGGACAAGAGAAAGGAAGGGAAATAATGAGATGTAAGTGAGTGACCAAAAGCCTTTCACTCACCATCTGTTTGCACCTGATAACCTGTCTATATCTTCCTCTACCACTCCTCATGAACCCTTAGGATCTACTAAAGATAGGTGGTACAAGGTATATAAAGGGAGAGATACAGCTAAGTACGAACAGCTAGAGCTCGCAAAAAAAAGAAGAAGAAAAAGGCAAAACATGGTTCAAACAGTCGGGTTCCAAAGCCCGTAGTCGTACCACCCCGACCGGCCCTATTATCATCGACCCCCAGAAGGAGTCACAAACCACTCCAGCCCAGGATCCTTTGCACTCACTCAACTGGGCTGTCCGTGTTCAGATCCCCGGAAAATGGAAACTGCCAGTAACCCAACTAGAAACAACAAAACCAAACACAAGGCTAAAAATCACTCAAAACCACGAACACCCACGAAACACCCATCTAAAAACGCCACCCAACCACCACCAACCACTAGAAACCAACACCAACCCACCCAAAAAAGCCCGAAGTTCACCACAAGTTTTCACCCGGGTTCCGCCCCCCAGCTCACCCAAGCACCAAGCACCAAGCACCAGGCCCGTCCCGTCCAGGGCCTACGCCAACCGCCCCGAAGATCTCGCAGACCTCGCAGCGGAGCTCCAGGCCTGAGCTCACCACCTCCGGCGCCTCGCATCTGTCGAGCACACCGAGCCATGGACCCGCATGGCCTTGTTGGTTTTCAAGTTGCTACTCAAGTCCCATGGGTTTGGTGGCGGGCCTCGTTCTGACCCAAAGGGTATAGGTGTTGATTAAAATGGTCTTCCCCGGGGGAAAAAGGATGGGCCGGTGGCTTGAGAAGAACGAGGGCTGAAAACAAATGGGGCGAGCCAAAAACCCTGGAAAGAGGGTGAAAAAAACCCGGATTCGCCGCCAGAACCGAGCATGGGAATTTGCATGAAGAGCCCCAAAGTTGGCTTGGGAGTATCTATATATCATTTGTGTGTATTGAAGAACTGTGCAAAACCATGGGTCAAAACGAGGCCCGCCACCAAAACCATGGGACTTGTAGAAAAAGCCAAAGTTGACATGGGCATTTCTTTGAAAACAAACAAAACCATGCGAAAACCATACTGTTAATAAACACCTAAACCCAATCTGTGTTGTTTTTGAGAAACAACAACAACTACAAAAGGACAATGTCCCACCCCCCACCCCCCCCTTCCCAACAAGCAGGCTTCGCCTTGTTTCCGGGTATGGAGGGTCCAGGCACCTAGATTTTTTGGGGTGGGGTGTCTCTCGTGTTTCTGAGAGAGGCGAAAAAGGTACCGTTGGCGGGAGAGCCTTCCATCTCGGTGTGTCTTGCGTTTCAGGCATATTCTCTTGGGGTTGGGAAACCAAGGGAAACTAGGGGGAAGCCACCCACTTTTGGGGGTAACAACACAAGCCCAAGTCTTCGAGTCTTAGCGAAAAGAAAGAAATCGACGACGGGTTTTGGAGCCAGATGGAGGCAGTCAAGCAATGAATACGATTCACGTCGGAAACAATCCACGGATCTCCGGATATATTGACGTTGAATCGAACAGGAAAAATAAAAGGGCCAAAAGAGACTGAGAACATGGGGTCGGAGTACGCGGAAGAATTGCCGTGGCCATCCCTCGGCTTAGCTTCTAAAACAAGATCCTCTCCACGGACTCCGAAGTTGACAATCACTGGGTGCCAGCCCCCTTCAAAAGCACACAAAACATGACAAACCACCGATGCAAACAGCCAGTTTAGCAAGGCCTGGCAAATTCTTCGTCGTCCCCTAATCCGATTTTGGGGTTCCCCCCACCCCTTGCCGCATGCCACTGCGAATTTCCTTTGTAGTCTCCAGGCTTGCCCTTCCAAAGTCATGAAAGGGCCATCCGGAAACTGCAAATATCTTCCTGCACCTTGTCCAAACGATCCAAGGTTTGGCAGGCTCACAAAGGGTACAGTAGTCCTCCCATCCTGGCCGTTTCCCGCCCAAAATGGAGAACCTGTCCTCTCACTTGCCCATTGACAGGGGTAGGAAAGGACCAGAGACCTCCAAACTCCGGGGAGGCTTTCCGAGAGGCGAACATGAGTTCCCCTTTCGCCCGGATCTCTGGAATTCGAATGTGGTCCCCCTCCTGCGGCAGGTAGCTCTCGCCCTGACGGCTTGGACCTTCCTCTGGAAGCAACAACCTACTTTCAAGGCTTGAAATGGACCCTGGCACATCTGTTTTGTGCAGGACTGGCACTTCAGGTACCCGGATGCACCTCACAAATTGCTCATGCGCCTCGTTGTGCGGCCTTAAAGGCCATCTATTTCCTGCTCAGTGACCCGCCAAAGAAGCATGTTTGTATCTCACTTCCTGAGCGGATTGGCCAGAAACTGTCGGCACTTGTTATTTGCCACTAAACAGGGTTTGCTGTTTCCACTGAAATGAACAGCCTCCCTTGAAAGGGTTTCTACACTATTAGGGGGGCTGCTTGTTCGTCCCACAAACAGTGGAAAAGGCAAACCATGTGCCACTAAAATGGTCCAACTCCAAAAAGTTAAGTCCAGCAACTGAGGGAGTGAAGCATACCTTCGCAAAATGCTGGATGCTGGGTGATCGTTTTCCGCTCGAGTCAAGCTGATTTCAGATGCCCAGTTTCCCAAAAAGCAGACCTGACATGTAGAGGAAGCAAAAGGGAAAGCCCGGCCCCTCATTGAATCTGGTCAAATGGTTGCACGCGCCAACCCCCGAAATCGCGACACCCTCAGTTGCGAGTCACAAGGAACCATTGGGCATGGTCTTTTCTGCTCCTGCTGGGCAACCTCTTCACGAGAAAACTTCGAATTCAAAGATGCAGTGGCTCAAAAGGAGACCCAAAGGAAACTCATCCGAATCCCCCAATTTTGACACCCGGTTGCATTGGGCATTGGTTGGATTGACGCTGAATTTGAACTTTTTGGTTGGACATGTGTATTCAACTTACTCACAACTTCAGCCCTTGGCGTGGGCAACACCTCCAAGTTTTTCCAGTGGTTCTCAAGCTCTCAAAGTTGCTAGCCATCCCGAACCAAGACGCAAAAGGGTACCGATCTCTTCAAAAAGAACACACCAAATGGGAGAACCCATCCTCAATTTCCCCAACCTCTTGGGACCCAAGTGGACTGGGCTGCCTCGTACAAAAGCTGCTCCCCCGTCAAGGGCGTCTCCGCCTGGCCGGTTTTAACAACGAGTCGTCAGCTGAGGTTTTGACTGGCCAAAGTGTGTCCCAGGGACCCCGCAGAGGCATTGTCCGGGGATTCATAAAGGGGGCCTGAAGTACGCCATTCAAAACCCGTGTTATGGATGCCCCCAGACCCCTGGCTTTGGCTTCCCTTGTTTCCCGTAACCACAAGCAAAAAGGGGACACCCCATCCCTAAAGTTGGAGAAGCGGAGAAGATAATAAATGAAAAGGTGTCCAAAAAAAAGAAACAAATAATAGGGCTTCAGAAACTAGAAAACTTCCAAAAAGAAGAAACATATTATTAACAAGACTTCACATTGTTCAGCCAATTCTCTTAATAAATCTCTAGACCAAATATGAAAACTATAAATAAATAATAAATTAAGATGAAATAATATAAGAAAATAATTCCGTTGCGAGCTCTGACGAGCGTCATGTCCTGCCTTCAATAGCACTCGGCGGTCTTTGGTTTCCGTTCACCCCTGACAAGGGTGCCCTATGTCCCATCTCAAAATTGCACAATTGCCCTGTCTATAGGGGAACCCTGACGGCCAGCAACTGCAGTGTTTGCTCTTTCCAAGGGAATGTACGGACCTCTGCAAGACCCACAAACGAGGGGGGTGCTTTGAAATCCCTAAAAACAAGGACTGTCTTTCTGAGTGCCCAGAAAATCCGCAGGGGCATTTCCTTCAGGCTTTCCCATCCGAAAAAGGAGGTTTGGGGCCGCTGACTTGTCGCTTCGTTAAAAGTTGCCAGCCCTCCTCTACTGTCATTTGCTGGCAGTTTCCGGGGGTGTTTCGTGAAATTGGGAATCCCCAAGACCGGTGGTGCTTCCTCAAGTGTTTCCCTTTTTTGTCCCATCCAAACGGACATCCCCGATTCTCGAAAACTGCCACTCTTCTGGTCTTGCAACCTCGCAGGATGCCAAAAAGCTTCGCGTACCATCCAATGCCATCCAACATTGAAGTACGCCAGTCGTGGGCCAAATTAACATGATTGCAGTCTTTCAGATCTCTGCATTCCAATTCCTTTGTTGGACAAGCTGCCTCTGAGACTATGCCGCAATCCAGCATCCCTCGCATGTTGTTGGCATTGGTGTAAAACCAGCTTGTTGGGAACTCGTTTTCCGAGTTCGACCGCAATCTTCATTCAGCCAAGCTCACTTTCCGAGCTAAATTGGTTGGAAGAAGTCCCAGAAGCCTTCTTTACCACCAATCGATCTTAAAGCGTGGAGCAAGGCCACCCGGGGAAACTTCGGCTCAACGAATCGCTTTGGTTTTTTTCGGGGACCCAGCAACATGGTAGCTTCCTTTTCGTTTTCCTTTGAAGCCAACACTAAAGCGGGTACTCTCAAAAAAGCGTGTCCTGTTGGGTTTCCTTTAAAACCAACAACAACGGAGGTACCCTCAAAAAAAATCATGTTGGTTTTGATTTAAAACCAACGTTAAAGGGGGTACCCTAAAAAAGTCCTTCTGGATTTCCTTTAAAACCAACAACGAAGGGGGCACCCTCACAAGAACGTGTCCATTTGGTTTTCCTTTAAAACCAACAACAAAGCGGGTACCCTCAAACAAAAAGATTCCTTTTAGTTTTGCTTTCAAACCAACACTAAAGGGGGTACCCTCAAAAGAAAGAGTCCTTTTGGCTTTGCTTTAAAACCAACACTAAAGGGGGTGCCCTCAAAAAAAACGTGTCCTTGTGGTTGTGCTTTAAAACCAACAATAAAGGGGGTACCCTCCAAAAAAACGTGTCCTTTTGGTTTTGCTTTAAAACCAACACTAAAGGGGGTACCCTCAAAAAAACACGTTTCCTTTTGGTTTTGCTTTAAAACCAACACTAAAGGGCGGTACCCTCAAAAAAAAACGTGTCTGTTTGGTTTTGCTTTAAAACCAACACTAAAGGGTGTACCTGAAAAAAATCGATTCCTTTGGGTTTGCTTTAAAACCAACACTAAAGGGGGTACCCTCAAAAAGAAACACGTTTCCTTTTGGGTTTGCTTTAAACCAACACTAAAGGGGGTACTTTTAAAAAATAACGATTCCTTTTGGTTTTGCTTTAAAACCAACACGAAAGGGGGTACCCTGAAAAAAAAAGTGTTCTTTTGGTTTTGCTTCAAAACAAACACTAAAGGGGGTACCCTCAAAAACAAACGTTTCCTTCTGGGTTTTGTTTTAGAACCAACACTAACTAAAGAGGGTATACCCTCAAAACAAAAACGTGTCCTTTTGCTGTTGCGATAAAACCAACACTAAAATGGGTGCCCTCAAAAAAAAAACATGTTTCCTTTTGGTTCTGCTTTAAAACCAACACTACAGAGGGTACCCTCAAAAGAAAAAACATTTCCTTTTAGTATTGCTTTAAAATCAACACTAAAAAAAAGGTTCCTTTTGGTTTTGCTTTAAAACCAACACTACAGGGGGTACCCTCAAAAAACACGTGTCCTGTTGGTGCTTTAAAACCAACACTAAAGGGGGTACCCTCAAAAAACACGTTTCCTTTTGGCGTTGCTTTAAAACCAACACTAAAGGGGGTACCCTGAAAAAAACCTTTCCTTGTGGTTGTGCGTTAACACCAACACTTTAAAACCAACACTAAACGGGGTACCCTCAAAAAAACGTGTCCTTTTGGTGTTGCTTTAAAACTAGCACTAAAGGGGGTACCCCCCCAAAAAAGGTTTCCTTTTGGTTTTGCTTTAAAACCAACACAACAGGGGGTACCCTCAAAAAGAAACACGTTTCCTTTTGGGTTTGCTTTAAACCAACACTAAAGGGGGTACTTTTAAAAAATAACGATTCCTTTTGGTTTTGCTTTAAATCCAACACTGAAGGGGGTACCCTCGAAAAAACAACGTTTCCTTTTGGTTTTTCTTTCAATACGAACACTAAAGGGGGTACCCTCAAAAAAGTGTCCTTTTGGTTTTGCTTTAAAACCAACACTAAAGGGGGTACCCTGAAAAAAAACACAAAACCAACACGAAAGGGGGTACCCTCAAAAAGAAACGAGAGGTCATGTGGTCTACCCATAACAAGCAGAAGGCAAGACGAGGGTTGCAGTGGATGATGGAGCATCTCGGAGGACACCAATTCCGCCACTTTTCGTTGAGCCCGAGAAGTTGAAGCCCAGCGCAGTCAGGTTGCCTCAGGCAGAGAATGAACAGGATGCAGGATGGGACTTCATTATCGAGAAGGGTGAGTGAGCAAGACAAGGAGAATCTGAAGCAGATGAGGTGGATCCACCGGCAGATCAATAAAGAGGGTTCTCCGATCCATGGCTGGAACAAGAAGCTCGTCCAGCGCGCGCTTGACAGTCTTGCCAATGACGGTTGTCTCACCAAGCTTTCGGATCGCTATGACCTGACTATCCAATCTGATCCTTAAGGAGGTTGCGCCCTACCTTCGAGGACATTCCCTGTGGTTGCTTGGGGAGTCAGGCATTGGCAAAACCCCTTTGGCCCGCATGGTCTCCATGATGTTCTCGAGGTATCATGGTGGGCCAGGCCAATTCAGAACAGCGCCGGAGTTCGACTTCTTCACGGGCGTCAGTTTCAATAAGAGTACTCCCTGCATCTTTGATGAAAAAGAAGAAGGCCTTCAGCGATGTAGGAGATTGCGAGACCATCTTGAAGGAAAGGCTAGGTCATGTGTTGTTTGCAATGCATTCCACATGTAGGGACTGATCTTTATATTTGTACGGATAGACGCATGAGCATGCGCAGGTGGAATGTCGCAAAGTTCGTAATGCATCAGTTGCGCATTGTCGTGGACAACCAGAACGATCCGGAGGAGGAAAAAAGGGAACCGACATCTTCAACTTGAACGAAGTCCCCCACGAAAAGTTCATGAAGTTGGTTCGCCCCGCCGTCGGGTACATCCCCAACGCTGATGCCATGGCCGTCCTTAAAAGAGGTGTGTTCATCGTCTTCTCGGAGAAGTATGTGTCCTTCCGCCCTCCCTTGGAGAAGCAGGCCAATGTGAGAAGGGTTTCTTGGGTGTCTGTGCCTGACATCTTGACCAAGGACTGCAAGCCCATTCTGAGCAACTGGAAGAAAGGTGGCGCGCCTCATCAAAACTATGACGAAATGGTGGCGTGGGAGGCGGAGTGGCTGGAGGAAGCCTGCAGGAAACATGACATCCCCTGCACCAATAGCATCGACAGCCCGCGATGACACCCCTCACCTGAATGCGCTGCTTTGCGCAGATGATGCTCTACCAGAACGGTCAAATGCCCCGTCAGGTTCTCGGTCTAGCTCTGATGTCATGGTCCCCGGTTTCATCAAGCTTGAAACACAGGATTATCAGGACGGCCACTCCGGGCTTGCGAGGGACACCGCAAATGATCCGATTGATTGCGACCATGATCCGGCAAGTGATGGCTGGTCTATGCCTGTGACTGTTAAGAAGGAGCCAGTCAGTCGATTTACGCGGCTTGTCGGACAGGCTAGTGCTACCATTGAGTTGGACTCGCCATCCCCTGACCTGAAGAGAAGGAGGCTCGACAACCCGGACACATTGCCTGGCCTGCCCTTTCTAGCGATGATGAGATGGATCACATGCCAGCGGTTGGTGCGTCCCTTGATGATGATGTAGGAGGAACAAGTCACCAACTTGGGTTCAAGGATGTTTGTCTGGTCTTGGCGATGCAGAGTGTCGGGCTACCCGTGCTCCCAACTTGCGACGGACCTTTGTCTATCTCATATGACAACAACATGCTGCTCCCGTTCGGTGTCCAGCTGTGTCAGAAAAGGTGTCGGAGAACTTTGCCAGAAGGATGCTATATTGTTCACGACAATGAAGCGAGCCACTTCTTCGCGGTCCAGAACCTGGAAGGATTGACAAGGGTCAAGGACCAAGGAGTCACCACTGAGATGTGTGCCGGTCAGGTCATGTCCATGCTGCGCTCGAAGAACTTCACCTTCTACTACATGCACAAGCAGGCTAAGATGGAGTTGCCTCCTTTCGATGCAGTTGGTGGCGCAGACGTCCCGACCTTCACATGTCCTCTAGATGTATGTGTATGTGAAGGCTGCAACGGCAAACTCATCTTCCACCTCTCTGTGGAGGCTGTGCTCTATGACCTCGGCGGCCCGGCGGAGATCTACCACGAGCAAAAAAATTGCACTGCTCGGAATTGCCGAGCATCATATGGCTACAACTACCGCTGGGAAGACGGCCAGAAGATCAACGCGCTGAAGACAGAGGAGTTTGAGGATGGTGTCCTTTTCGTGAACTCAAAGAAGGCATTCTCCTTGAAATACCTGCAGTACCATGAGGAGCTGCTCTTCTGTGGTCATTTGTCTCATGCAGCGGTCTCGCATGCATACCAGACTGTCCACGCAGAGTCCGATGCGGAAGTTGTGGGGCGCTTCCACAAGCTCCACGCCACTGCCCTGTTCTACCACATGGCGGTTCGTGACTTTGGGTGCTTGGGTCTTCACAAAGAGATCATCATCGATGACGAAGTCAGTGATCAACATTTTGACCTATATGAAGCGTTTTGCCATAGCTCCGTCTTCCCGCCCACGAAGCGCAACCAAGTCAAAGCTTTGGTCATGGATGGTAACCAGAAGCTCAAGATGCAATGCTCCGAAGCTCCGATGAAGCGCGGTGGCCGCCCTAGGAGGTCCAAGGACACAGTCGGCACCTACACGAATGGGTGGATGCTCGCATGCGACCCGGGATCCGGTCGCATCTTGAGTCTTCAGTCAATGCATGAGCCTGAGAATAACGAGGTTGCGGGGCAATGCGTCGAGAAAGTTGTCTGGCTCTACCCTAAGATGGATTGCATCATCTACGATCGACCCTGCTCCTTCAAGTCCTTTGGTGAGACCATGCCGGCCCTCGAACAGGTTAACTTCTATGTCGTTGACGCTTTCCATGCTCATGGACACTCCAACACGTGCCCATGCAACCCCAGTCCCTCGTACACTTATGCGCAGTATTTACATGTTATGTTTTGTGTTGTGTGTGAAACTATAATATGCGCTTCCAATCTAAGGTCGCCGCCGCAAGCTTGGAGCGCGCATCAACAGGGCGAATACCAACATTTTGTGAACAAGTGTTTTCCTGGTTCCGGAACTTCGCAGGCCTGTTGAACGAAATGCGTCCCAATCGTCACAAGTATTTTCTCTTGACCATGGCCAAGCGTCACAACAATGCCATCGACCAAGACAAGACCGATTACTTGCACCCCACCCGCAAGCCTAGCTCCAAGCTTGTGAAGCCATATCGTTGCTGAAAGAACACGAAGGGCCTCAAGAAGAAACCTGCTATGAAGTGAGTCTGCAATGAGTAGTTGCAAATGCATAGCGCATTCTTTTGCGAGAGATGAAGGACTTGATATTGTTTGCAATGTAAGTAAGAAGGTCACTGTGTTATTGGATGTGATTGATTATGTTCAGGTCTTGTTTACTTCAATCAAGAGTATGCATTGCCTTCATCCACAATCCGGTTTTGACCTAGATGCAAAGACAGTTCTGCTCAATGAAAAGAGTGGAAAAAAGCGCACGCTCACAGCGACCTGCTCTCCACTAAAAGGGGTATCCTTTTGGTGTTGCTTTAAAACCAGCACTAAAGGGGCTACCCTCAAAAAAACACGTTTCCTGTTGGTTTTGCTTTAAAACCAACACTAAAGGGGGTACCCTCAAAAAAAACGGTTCCTTTTGGTTTTGCTTTAAAACCAACACTAAAGGGCGCACCCTCGAACAACAACCGTTTCCTTTTGGTTTTGCTTTAAAACCAACACGAAAGGGGGTACCCTCGAAACAAAAACGTGTCCTTTTGGCTTCTCTTTAAAACCAACACTAAAGGGGGTACCCTCAAAAAAATGTGTCCTTTTGGTGTTGCTTTAAAACCAACACTAAAGGGGGTACCCTTAAAAAAAACCGTGTCCTTTTGGTTTTGCTTTAAAACCAACACTAAAGGGGGCACCCTAAAAAAAAGTGTCCTTATACCAACACTAAAGGGGGTACCCTCAAAAAAAACGTGTTCTTTTGGTGTTGCTTTAAAACCAACACTAAAGGGGGTACCCTCAAAAAAAATGTGTCCTTTTGGTTGTGCTTTAAAACCAACACTAAAGGGGGTCGTCTCTCGAGATTTTCGAGGAGGGCCTTGTCCAGTAAGGCCTCTTCCAAGAGCTGATCGCAGAGGTCCCATGCCATGGACGTTGTTTTTGTGTGCCCCAAGAGCCCTGGGCACAAAAAAAACAATTCCTTTGACCTCTCACATGCCTAGAAACTATCATGTAGAGTTGTTGCGCCGAAATTGTGTGCGGAAACCAAAGGAAACCACCCAGCTCCCTACTTCTGCCCTAAGGGAACGGCCGGAGCAACCTGTAAGAAAGGGGAGGCCAACTCTCGGCAGCCCAGTGAGGAAAGGCCGGATTTCTTTGTTTGTCGGCGACCGCTGTACTCTTGGGCAACCATAGCTCATGCAAGTTGCGGAAATATCAGCTTCAGGATTGCTACAGTATGAATCTGGGCCAGTCCAAAGAATCCCATGCGAACCGGTCCGAGCGTTACTCGAAAACGACACCCTGGTGCCGAAACAGCTTCGGACAGCCAAAGCGAACAGCTGGCTGACACGTGGGCACTTGTCAAATGTCAAGCTAGAGATCCCTTCCAATCTGTGCTGCGCAAAAAGTTGAACTACTTGCTCCCCTGAAGATATGGACGGTAGAGATACCAGTCTCAGATGGGTAGTGGGAAAGCAAACATTTCCCTCAAAGCTGCAGGCTACAAAACCTGGTTTCGCCTCTCAAGCCCGTCCCCATAGGATTCCCTTTGACACGCAGCCACGTGAAGTGTCTCCTAAACTCAGCGTGCATCACCTTGGGCGTTGTGCATTTCGTGGGGATGTTTTCGTCTTGCGCTTCTCTCGGGGTCTCGTCATGGTCGCCTAGCGAACCGGAAGCAAGGTCTTGGGTCAAGATGTCCGGGACTTTAGGGTCACTTTGTAGGCTCGCTACAACTTGCCCAGAATGAAGTGCTCACTGCCAAACTGTGCCGACACCGATCGATTCGCTGCATTGTTGCCTACCACTTGTGTCGCTGCTTGTGAAACATTGACTTCTGCACGTTTCCTGGCCGCACAGCTCACGGAAAGCGGAACAAAAGTAGAGAACACCGACCGATACTTTTGCCACTGCAAATCCATCTGTCAAATCTACAAACAACCTCTTTGGGCCACCTTGAAAACTCGAAGTGGAACATCAGCCCCTCCCCCTAAAAACACAAGCAAACTAAAAACAGGTATACCAGTGTCGATTCTGGCCCATCGCGGAAATCCCCATGTCAAATTGCGGCAGATATTCCCCAGAAATGCGAGGATGGTTGACACCTGCGTGTCTTTACCCAAAAAAAACGAATCCGAATCGGGCCCAAAATGGCGCAACGTAGTTGTCCTTTTTCGGCTGTCCTGTAAACCCACCCCAAACAAGGGTCTTGCCGCTTGCTGTGCGAATGACTAGGCCGCCTCCATGCGCCGCCGGCCGCGCGTTGCCAGGGTAGGCCTTCTGTCTGGTTCTTGGTTCTCGTTTTGCATGCGCAAACTCTCACTGGGAGAGTGGATGGCCCGAGAAAAGTCCAAACTTTATATTTACCACTAAAATGGTCTTCCCCAAAAGTTTAAAGTTCATGAACTCAGGAAGTGAGAACTAGCGTCAATGCCCTGGGGTACACCACTAAAAACAGTAATCAACTTCTGGTCCAAAGTGAGTTTATCCTAAAAACATATATAGAACGTAGAGGAGACCCGGGCATTCCTCTCAACATAGTCAACAAAATGGGGGCATGTCAGGTCAAGCCTGTCAAAATCCATAGGAGCGCCGTCTCCCCACACTTTGCTCAAACTGGGCTGTGTTTTGCTGTGCCTTTTTTGTTGGGCACCCCCTCAAACAAAATGGTGGTTGTCCTTTAGGTGTCCCTGTGAGAGCCACAAAACAGGGGTACCATCTCCAAAAAAAGCCGAGCCACCCATATTGTCGGTCCTCACCAAGTACATGTAAGCACCTACCCAAGGCAGGAACCAATGCGCAGGCATCCTGAAGATGTCGCGGGACTCCCGCGCAGATGTCCAGACCACCCTCTGAAAAAAGGAGGTCGTGCAAAGGCAGCAAATATCATCGCTTTAGAGAAAGACCTGTACAGTTCAATGCATGGATTAAGTACCCGCAAACAAAAGAAGATATATATATATATATGCTTATATGTACTAAGTTGCATTATTTGACTACTCCGAATTTTGATGCTCCTACGTACCAACCTGACTCGCGCACAATGGCTACCTTACACACAGCTTCCACCGCAAGAGAGCAGGCGTCTCCCGTCAGAGCATCGCACGAGCTCAGTTCTGCAAATGCCTGGGCATCAAAGAGAAGCGACGATTGACTTTAGATGTGCGGGCAGGCTCTCATGGCCCTATGTAATGCCCGAATGTTCTGAGTATGCAAGCGGGGACAGGATTGACCGAGCTGGCGATGCTCGGCATTAAAGCTGCAAATCATTCAGGATTGGTTGAACTCTCTTTGAACGAGGTTGCAAACAAAAACGCGAGTTGTAGAACAAGAATCGCGGCAGAAACCTCTGGAAAACGAAACCGCTTTCGGAGAATCAAAGTTGCTACGGGCATTCAAGTGCATGTTCTGGCGAATGAAAGCCGCTGTAGGCTGCACGTCTGCCAACGAGGTGGAAACTGCCGCGTGCCTAATCCCTCCAAGACCTGCAAAGCAACTTTGCGATAGCAAGCCAAGGGATATTTTTGGCTAAGGCAAGCCAACTGGACCGTCCGGAAAACACAACCTAAGGCATGCTGGAAACAGGGTTCATGCCCAATGCAAGTGTCATGGGCATAGTTTCCTTCATCGCTAAGCCTTAAGCGCACTGAAGCGCGTGTTGACCATGCATAAAGGGATTCATCTATAAATCACACAGCACTACTGCAAATGAATCCCCTCGGCACAGCGCCCTGTTATTTGCAGCAGCGTGTCCTCTTTTGCACTCCGACGTGCTGCTTGTGAACCTCTCTCTCCGATTGGAGCTGCCAAGAGTCGAAACAAATCATTGAGACGCCATGTACATTCTCTTTATCATGGCCTTTGTCCAACTCCGTCAATTCCTCAGTTGGCCTCTCCTCAGGGGATGCTGAATCTATTGCCAGCCAATGCAGCGGGCAGTACGCTATTGGGAAAGCTGAAACGAGTCTTTGTCGTTCCATCCGGCAGCTTGGACCTGGCTGCCATAAGAACACAGCACAGCTGCAACAAGGATGCCCAACATAGGCCGGGCACCATGGGCGGCCACAAGTTCTTATGTCTAAAAAATCACCAAAACTGGAAAACCAAAGGCCAAAAGGTCAACTCGCTTTGGGCAACTGTGGTGGGAGACGGATCAAAGAAAAAAATGATCGCTGCATGGCATGGTTTGACTCTGTGACCAAATAGCACAGCTGCTCCTTGAGGTCTCTGAACTTCAGGATCGGAACGCAACAATGTGGCTCTTTTTTGAGGCTACTCGATTTGGGCTTGGTTTAAAGGGCAAAGGGAAACTGCCCCTCTTGTGGTTTGGCAAGCCTCGAAAAACAAGCCCAGGTGGCCGTTGGTACCCTTGGGACGGATGCACACAACGGATGCACAGAATCACCGGCGCTTGTGCCAGATCTGCGCAAATCCGCGTCGGAGTCAGCGGGCGGCTCGAGAAGTCAAAAGCGGACAAAGTCGCAGTCTTCCTCCTGCGCAGTTCAGGGCTGGAACAGCGAATTGCGGTCTTGTTCTAGGGGTGTTTGGGTGTCTAGGCTGTCCTCAGATCCCCCGCTAAAAGTTTAACTTTTAGTGGGCTAAATGGAAAACTCCACTAAACACTAAAAGGCAAAAAGCTAAGGGGATGGCAGGGAGCCACCAAGGTGTTTGTACACAATGGGCACCCCGGATTCGCAAACCCCTGGCTGATTCATGGGAGGGTGTCCCTTTTTAGTGGGGATTCATCACTTTTGGCGAACACTCCCGTATTAATAGGACGGGGTTACTAATCCGGGGGTCCCATTACCCCTTTTACACACACGCCAAAAGGCTTGCAGCTATTGCCCGGAGATGGTTGCCTCCTCAGTCTAAGATTCTTAAGCATCTTCTCGTACCGCTACGAAGCCAGTGCGATCAAGCACAGCCTCAATGCAGAAGGTCATGCCTTCCTTTCTTGTATATGGTTGACGGACCTCTCCCAACCGCATGTTGCCGCTGAACAAGCCGTGCACCCCACTCCCCCTTCTCAATCTTGTTGGTGCAGGATTTCGGCCAGCCCTGAAACCGGCACTGTTAAATCTCAGCGAACGCGATGCTTACATATGTACATATATAATTTCCATATATGCATATATATACATATATATATATGCATACGTGTGTGTGTGTGTGGTCAGGCCCCCTCCCATGATCCACTTTTTTTTTTGTCTTGAAGCCTTGTCATATATTTTGTAGGTATTTAAAATACACTTTCTTAATGTGACACTGCCTGGTGTCATGTTTTCCTAAATTGTATACTTATATTTAACATGCAGAATCATGAACGTGTATGTACAAAACCCTGACCAGATTATGGTCTCTGGGGGCATTCCACGTTGAACTGGCCATGATATAAAATCATGCATGCTTACCGTGTTTTCTTGTGTTCTACTCTCACAAAGTACAAAACAAAGTTGTTTTAGCGTTTTTGATATATGCAAGCATTAAGCCGTATAAAAACAAAAACTGAGGCAAGCCTGGAAGAAAACTCGAGTTTGTTTGTTGGTTTTTGCGACGGAGAATGTCAACAACTAAAAAACAATCGGGAGCAGCCAATCAACAAGCTCGAGAAATCAACAAAAACAAAGTTTGGAGCTGAAACCAAAGATTTTCCGTCACAAATTAAATTGTCCTTCTGAAACTTGCAGAAAACCAACCAAACACTGAGTTTGTTGGTTGTGGGCATTGCTCAAGTTTTGTTGTTTTTATCGAGATTTGCTCCCTTATGTTCTTGTCGAAGGTGTGACCATATATGCACACGCCTTGCTTCGATATGCATTTACATCTTTGCTGAAAACTGTTATCAAAAGCAGTCAGCGACCTGAGTTTAGATCTCTTTCCAAATAGGGCAAATAATAGAACTTAAGTAGAATTGAGGTGAAGAGTCGAAATAGAATTTCGATTTCAAGCAGGATTCAGCAGATGGCTTTAAATTCTGGACTCAAGCCTCATATAAAGGCTCCTTATAAAGCTCCTTACAAAGCTTCTTACAAGGCTCACAGACAGCTCCTTGTAGGGCTCCCTTTCAAGCTCCCCATAAGGCTCCGTACAAAGCTCCTTGTAGGGCTAGGTGATCAACCGGAGATTAAAAAAACAAATCCTTATGAAGCTCCTTTTGAAGGCCCACTGTCCTTGCACAAATCCTTTTGAAGGGCTGCTTGCAAAGTTCCTTATAAGGCCTCTCATGAAGCTTCTCAGTAAAGCAAGGATCTTGTCCAGGCTCACTATGCCAAAAAGGAGTTTGATTACAAAAACAAACAACTATAGAGAATGTTTGCTCACAATGGGAAGTCAAATGGGAAATTAAAGAATAGTTCCTTGCCAACCATCATTGCCATGTTAATACTTTGCTTTCGAATAACTTAATATAATATGGAGCGATTTGATCAGAATCCTTGTCCAAAAGGAGTTCGATTAAATTCAAAAAAATGGAGTAAATTTTAATAAGGATGAAATAGTCTGATAAGTTCTATTCTAAAATAGAATGGAGTTGTTTTAAGTTTGCAGATGGAACAGAACACAGACAGGAATTATACGCAATGACCTGCAGGTGAACAAAGCTCCTTACAAAGCTCCATTCAGGACTTTATATATAAGCTATATTTAAGCAGAATTCGAATAGAATATAACGAGAAGAGGTAACTAATCTGTTTTGAATGAGGGGTCTAAAAGTTATGCCTTTTCAAGTAAGACTTCAATTGTATACTGATTCCATGAGGGTTCAATGGGGAAGGAGCTTAGTCTGATTTGAACACTTGCAAATTTAGATTGAATATGATTCCCGTGTCAAAGTGGTTCTCAATCCGTTTGATTTGGCAATTCAGTACACATTCAATTTGGACTTGTAGATGTGACACAACACGGACAGAGGTGACAATGACTTATCTGGCTTGTATGTGTATATAATTACTGTATATACATATATGTATTTCATGCATATACACATAAACATGTATACATATATATATATATATGTTATACACCACTTTACTATATACATATATATATATATACATATATTAATATACATAAGTAATATATATATACTTATAGATATATACTTATATATATATATATATATAGGCATGGCTGTGCCTCAACTTCTCTCGACTCGGCCCTGCGCCTTGGCCTCCTCTGCGACCATGGCCACCCGCACCGAGGCGTCGATGGAGTCGGGGAGCCTGGCGCCGGAGTCCTTCGGTCGACGGACCCGGCCGTCGTCGGCTCGAACCGCTGGCCGTGGCCGCGGTTCCTTTTCCGTTTTTGTTTTTCTGAGGTCTGCGGTTTTTCCCCGGGTTTTTGTGTTTCTTTCTCCGTTTTTGTTTTGGGAGGTCTGCGGTGTTCCCCGGATTTTTGGGGCGGCCTACGCTTTTTTGCCCCGGTTTTTGGTTTGGTTTTCCCGGTGGTCCGCGGTTCCTGCCCCGTTTGCTTGGCGTTTTCGTTTTCGCGCCTGCGGTTCTCCTCCTGGCTTTTTTGTTGAGGTTTCTTGTTTTCCTGCAGGTGGCCTGCGTTGCTCCGTTTCCCGGAGTTGTTTTTGAGGTTCCTGGTCACTTTCCAGGCGAGAAATGGAAACCTGGGGCCCTTGCGGGGAGATGGTGGTAACCGGAAGCCGGGTGGAGAACCACACGTTAAAGGATTCATGTCCTAAAATAGCTGGCTTCATTAAGACTTGGAACCACCTCTAAAGCGGTTGGACATGAACCCCCACCTAATCCAGATGTTCAGCAATGAGTCCTAAAACAAACTTCATCAGGTGTCAAAGCAGTACCTTGGCACCATGTCGAATGAAAACGAGCACGAACGCAGGCAACCAGAATTGCCAAAATGGGGGCGGCACGTCAACATAAGCCAAATTCCTGTTGCTGACACATACCCTTTCAAGTTCTGGCAGCCGGCTGAAGGAACATACTCAAAACCGTGGAAAGGAAGTACTTTTGAGCGGCCGACTGTACATCGGATTAAAACTCAGCTCCACTCCCCAAGTGGTCAGGTTGAGTCTTTGTGAAAAAACAACACGCCCTCAAACACTGGGACAAAAACCCTGGCTTTTTGAGGGAGGCTCCTAACCTTGATACTTGCAAAGACTCGGCCGACTTCACGTCGTATTGGCATTTGCCAATGTGTTGTGTGTGTGAGAGGTTCCTGACAAATCGACCGATGAATCAATAGCGGCTCGGATATAGAAGCAACAATTTGAAAGGACACTTGCAACAGGATTGCATCGCGGCACTCTCTCGCAAAGCCCTCACTCAGCGAGCTAAGACAGAAACTACCAACAGTGCCGCCAGGAGCACACAGCTCCCACTGTTGACCAGGCAGTTTGCCCAGTGGGCAGAGCCAAACCGGGCTACCAAAACACACCTTCCGAACTATACATGTTCTTTTTACATCAGGGACATCCCTGGAGCTTTTATGGGTTGATTTCTTCGATCCGAAACCCGCCAAAATTTGTGGCCCCCGATTGAGCTGAACGCTTCGACTCCCGGGCTCCCGGGCCCTCGGAGCCGGCCCAGGAGCATGGTGAAGACCAGCAGCATCTGGGACGCCTCGCCTCGGAGACCCGGAGTCCATCAAGATCTCTCGGCGTTTTTTCGTTTTCCTCATCCGATTTTTCCTGTTGGAGGAATCGATGAGACAGATGACAGCGCTTTCCACTTCTAATCACATCCTAGCTTGACTGGATCCCTCACCAAAAATGCCTTGAAACGGAAACATGGAGCCCTGCCCTTCCCCCGATTGGGTTGGGATCCCTGTGCAAGCGAGGATTTGTTGGTCTTCATAAAGAAATGGCCCCTGCGTTTGCTGCCAAGGTGTTCGGGCGCGCGGTGCTCGGCGTCCACATACGTTTTAAGTACGTAAACATTGCGTTTCTTGGTCCAATTTTAGGTGAGGGTGTTTTTTTGTTGGTGGGGTCATAGTGTGGGCGACAAAGGAAAAGTTGTGACCGGTGTGAAGCTTTGAGACCAAAGGCCGGGAGTGTCTCTCAGGGTTTGGTCTGCAAAAAACTAGGGAAAAGAGGCTCACGTCTCAACCGACCTCCAACATCCGCTGTTTTGAGGGCATTCTCGTGGTGGTCTTGACGGAAAAAAGGAGCCGACGCCCATTTTGGGGGGAATGTGTTGCTCGGACGCCTGGCTTAGGCGGAGGTTTCCCCAATGAACTTCCGTCGACAACTGAAAACACTTTGGGGAAGTCCCATCCAATGATCCTCCTCTGTCCAACTAGCAGTCCAGCTGAATCCCCATGCATTGAAATGTGGGGTTGAGGAGTGGCTTGAGCGAAAGCTCTTGGGCTGCGCTGTCAGACTTAGGCCCCTACAAACCCTTGACGTTTTGCTGGCGCAAAGGAAACATGACTGCAACCCAAAAGGCCCAAAACCTGCAAAAGCGTAAAACAAGAAAACACAAAAACAAAACAAACACACAAAAACGCAAAAAAAAGAAAAGAAACAACCAAAACACAAAACCCATCGCCAGCCAGGTCCGGCGATGCGATCCAGGCCAGACTTGAGCCCCAGGCTCCACACACCGCTGAAGGAGAAGGTCTGGTTCCTGGCATGCGGTCTTGACAAATGGCTGGGTCAAAATACTGACAGATGGCTATAGGGAAAGGTTGTGGTTGGGAAACACACAGCAGGTTTATAGGAGAAGGTTGTGGTTGAAGCAGGCCCCCGTCCTCTAAGGGAAACACACTGCAGGTTGCTTGAATAATGTTGGTTTGACCTCTGCCGGATCATGGAAGTGCGCAAGATGTGCTTGCAGGAGCACTTGCCAAAGCCCTGTCAGCATCCATGATTGAAAAGAGGCTATCTTCAAAATCCCCTGGCGCTTAGTTTGAAAGTTTGTACCAAGATCAAACTGTCTTTGAAGGTGGGGCGAAGTTGGGGCGAAGTTGGGGCGAAGTTGGTTCACATAGGCCACTCCAAGGGAAACCTAAAAAAGTTAGAGCGCAACGTTCTTTGGGGAAAAAATGGGTTCCGAACCCAACGTATGGCATCTGGAAAATGGCCACAGTCCAACCCCTTTTGTACCTGAGGCAAAAGCATCCATCGTCATCACTCACTTTGAAACTCGAAACGTTCAACTTGGTTGACGTTGGAAGGGGAGCAAAAATCAAAACTTTAGCCGTTAAGTGGTTGGATTTCCCACTAAACCACAAGAAGCAAAAATGGGGAAAAAAAAGTGTCCCAGCCACAACCAGGTTAAGGCCTTCCTGACCGCTTCCAACCGCCGCTTTGCCCGCCCTGGGCCCCCCAGCTCGAATCCCAGGCTCAAGCCACAGGTGCCATAGGCGCTGAGGAGTTCGAAAAGCACCTGGCGCTGGCAGTGCAGTTCTACATGGGCGTTTTATTAGGCGGGCGGGGTTGCCAAGCCAACCTTTTTAGAGGCACAGAGGCGTTGTGCTGGGGCTCATAAAAGCTGGGGGTCCTTAAAAGAAGCAAACACACCTCAACTGGTAGAACATAGATGGCCCCTGACCTCGCTGTTCATAAATTTCTATGGCCAAAAGGACCCGCAAAAGCTGGTGGGTGTGTTTTCCCCTTCAAGGCGTCCATATCCATGTTGAAGCCATGAATGGTTGGTTTCCTGATGGCCTATGGCCCCCCCTCCGCGCCAGCAGTGTCTTTCTTCAATGGGTTGTAGTACGGGCTGCAAGAACCTTGGTAACCATACATGGCAGACCCAAAAGTCATCAGTCCACTTTACCACGTTTCCATCTGCGGGTCAAAGGAGGAAGCACGTCACATGTGTGGGGTTGATCAATATTATTGGCCCCGAAATGACCATGGGTAATTTCCCACGCTTAGTGTTTAGTTGGAAACATCAGACCTTTCTGGTGAGATTCCCCCTTTCTGGTCATCTCATGTAAAGCAACTTGCATGTAGGGTTTCCGTGGCGACCAGATTGGCAGAACCAAAAGTCACAAGGGGGACCGCTTTACATACGTCCCTTCTGGTGTCCCCTCCTGTAAAGGGAAACCACATGTGTACGTTTCATTGTCTTGCGGAGCCCCACGATGGTGGGTTTTCCGTTTGGTTTCGAGAAGGGTACCCTCAAACAGCACCCACACATAAAGCCAGCCCACACCTACCATAACATCTAATCCCAAAATTACCACAACACCCACCCGAACCTAGCACAACACCCATGATAAGCCTACAATAAAGCCACGCTAAACCTGCCACACCCATACCCCACATTTTCCCCACATACCCCACCTACCCCACATTCCACGCTAGCCACTCTAAACCTGCCACACCCATACCCCACACGTGCCCCACATACCACGCTCCGAGCCAAGAAGCTTTCAGAGATTGTCCATAACCCACCCAGACCCACAACTGAAGACAACAGCTAAAGCCAAAACTACCAGAACACCCACCCGAAACCTACCATAACCTACCATAAACCCAGCCCCAACCTACCATAACACCCAGACCCACAACTGGAGGGCAAGACAGTGCGATAACACCCACCCTAAACCCACCATAAACCCAGCCCCAACCTACCACCAGACTCACCCACACCCACATGGGAGTGGCTCTAAAGAGCCAGGGTTACGCGTGCTTTGGTCTTTGGTTCCACCTACCAAGGTGCCATGTCAGGTTTCATGTTTTTGAGCCACAGCCCATAACACCCACCCCAAACCTACCATAAACCCAGCCCCAACCTACCACAAGGCCACCCACACCCGCCCTTCTGGGGATTTCCATTTCTTTGATCCCCTGCTTGTTCAACCACAACCTTCCCCTAAAAACCTGCTGTGAGTTTCCCTTAATCCCTTCCCCCTAATGGGTATGGGTCAAAATTAAACAGGATGGGGTTACGCAGGTTTTGGTCCTTGTTTCCACTTGCCAGGGTTCCATTTGGGGTACCTATTTTTGACCCACACGCCCTCAGGCTGGGGGCAAGAGGGGCTATTCTGTGGAGGCCTGGTTGGCCAGGCTAGGGGTCGTTGGATATCAGCGTTCGCCGAGCGCCCAACACCCATCCCAGAACAGCCCCGAGCGACTCTGAACTGCCACCAAATCAAAGGCAATAGGCAGCCCCAGTCCGAGCAAGGCAGGCGATGCTGGGGATGCGGCCGGTTCAACCGAGCAACCAACCAACCAACGAGCCCCGAACCGGGGCGAGCAAAACAAACACCGGTTCCTTTTCCACCAAAAACCAAAAAGGACTCCTGCGCCCAGCTTTGGAAATCCAGCTATTTGTGGGCACACCCGAATAGTGGAGTCTGCATGGGCTGGCTCCCTTTTAGCGGAGGCGGAGTAGGAATAAACTTGAGTGAAACTCCGACTGCTGTGAGACAAAGTTTACTTGTGTGGCAGCTTCAAAAAAATATGCACCACACATTATCCAAAGTTTATATGGCGTGCAGCCCACCCGTCCACCCGGGCTGCCTTGAAAAAGCCAAAGTCCGTGTAGATGCCGTCGCTGTCCGGCGAGGGATATTTGGCAGCCCTGCCGGTTTTCCGGAGAAACTCCCCCACAAGCAGTCTGACATGCTCCGGACCGTCAGAACTTGGCCCAAATCTGCGCTGCATAGAACACATGAGCTCGGATTCGCTAAATCATGTCTCTAAAGCAGTGCAGGCATCTTTTGCGGCGCTTCTTTGGACGCTCAAACAAACCCTCAAGAAGAAAAGAGAAGAACTGGGTGAGGACTGTGTATTGATTCCCTGGAGCCTGGGAGAATTCACACCCAAAAGCACACCCAGCGGGGAAACCCACGGAAACCACTGAGCAAGAGGTGCCATTTAGGCCTCATTTACGGGTTGCCGCACGGCTCCTAAGCCTTGCACCAGTTGGACGTCCCCGCCTGTAACAGGGCTTCGTGGCTCGACTGCTGCGCGGTAGCGGCACTGAAGATTGCAAGGACACTGTGTATACATATATATATATATATACGTACATCTATATATGTTTTTCAAAAGAACAAAGTAAGCATAAGTATGATACAACATACTGTTCTTGAAAAAACACATACCGGGTCTTGGGTTGCACAAGTGCGTGCGTGTGTGTGCGCGCCCGTGTGGGCGGGTGTCTGCAGTTGTGGGCGCGGGCATGTGTATGTATATGTGTACGTGTCTGTGTATGCGCATGCGTATGTGTATGTGTATAATGTATGTTCATGTGCATTTGCATGTGCATGTGTGCGCGTGTGTGCACGCGTGCGTCCGTGTGGGCGGGTGTCTAAGTGTCTGTGTGTCTGCGTCTGTGTTGTGTGCGTGTTGCTTGTGAGTAGTGGTGTGTGTGTGTGTGTTCTGTGTGTGTGTGTGTTGTGTGTGTGTTATGCGTTGTGTGGGCTGTGTGAGCTTGTGTATTTGCTATGTGCGTTGTGTGCATGATGTGTGTTGTGTGTGTGTGTCGTGTATTGCTTGTGTGTGTGTGAGCGTTGTGTGTGTTGCTTGTGAGTGCGTGTGTGTCTGTGTGCGCGTACGTGCGTGCGTGCGTGCGTCCGTGCGTGCGTGGGTAGGTGGCTGGCTGGCTGGCTGGCTGGCTGGCTGGCTGGCTGGGTGCGTGGGTGGGTGGGTGGGTGGGTGGGTGGGTGGATGCTTGTGGTGCGTTGAGTGTGCGTGTTGTGTCTGTTTTGTGTTGTGTGTGTATGTGTGTGTGCTGTGTGTGTGTGTGTGTGTGCGTGTTGTGTTCGCGTCGTGTGTTGGGTGTGTGCTGCGCGCATGTGTGTGTGTGTGTGTGCGTTGTGTGTGTGTGTTGTATGTTTTGTGTGTGTGTCGCCTGCGCAGCGTGTGTTGCGTGTGTGTGCGTGTGTTGTGTGTGTGTGTGTGTTGTGTGTGTGTTGTTGTTTGCGCTTGGTATGTGTATGTTGGTGAATGTTTGCTTGTGTGTGTCTGTGTTTGTTTGTGTTTGGGTGCTTGTGGTGGTATGGTCGTGTGTTGGTGTGGGTGTGTGTGTGACTGTCTGCGTGTCGAGTGCCTTTGTGTGTGTGTGTGTATGTGGGCTTCTTGATGCGTGTGTGTGTGTGTGTGTGGGCGTGTTGGTGCGTATGGGCGCCCGTGTGCGCGTGTGTGCGCGCCAAGTCCCTGATCTCGCGATTTGCACTCGAGTTGTTTTTTGATTGCGCAATCGATATGCTTTACTGGACTTTGTGTGTGTGTGTGTGTCTGCCTGCCTGCCTGCCTGCCTGCCTGCCTGCCTGCCTGCCTGCCTGCCTGCCTGTCTGTCTGTCTGTCTGTCTGTCTGTCTGTCTGTCTGTCTGTCTGTCTCTCTGTCTGTCTGTCTGTCCGTCTGTCTCTGTTTGCTTCCGCATGTTTGTTGAATTTCTGCGGTTTGTTTGTTTATGCGGTTGCTTGCTTGCCTGCTTGCTTGCCTGCCTACCTGCTTGCTTGTTTGCCTGGTTGGTTGTTGTGCTGTTTCGTTGTTTGTGTGCGTGTGTGTTTGCTTGCTTGCTTGCTTGCTTGCTTGCTTGCTTGCTTGCTTGCTCGCTCGCTCGCTCGCTCGCTCGTTTGTGGTTGTGTGTCTGCGCGGCTGTGATCCTGTGTGGTAGACCATCCCAAAATTATGGCAGCCCTTGGTCAAGATGCCGCACAAGGACGAAGGATCGACACCTCTCTCACACCGTCCTGGCCTGGAAAAGTTGTCTTGCTCCAGGCAGCAAATGAGAAAGCAAATGACCTGACCGGGGCTGGCTGATGACTACAACTCCTTGCGTCCGGGGGCATGATACTCCTCGTGTTGAATGATTCGATTGGGGAACAACACCAAATCAGGCGTGTCCAGGCATGCGTTTGGTGAAAGGCAATCAATGTGGCATATTGTGACTGAGACATAAGGAGAGATCGAGGAAGGGAGAGGGGGCAAGGGGGAGGAAGAGAGGGAGAGAGAGAGAGGAAAAAAAGAAGAGAAAGAAACCAAGCAAACAAAGACAAAAAATACTGCTAGGGAGAGGGCAAGTTTGATTTTTGGCACGCCAATACGTCGGCATGCGCGGGCTCGTGTGTGGCGGCCTAAAGAAGTATGTCTCTTGGTTCAAGTCGTGAACCATTAAGTTGACTTGGAGACTTGAAGTAGTGCCGGAAAAACACAAAACTAAAAATGGGAAGAAACAACTAGAAACCGTGAAACTTTTTGGTCGCCTTTGGATTTCCCTTTCAATTTCATCTAAGACGGCGCCCCTTAGGGCGGGCCTGCGCAAAGAGAGGCTCCGACTCCAGAAGGGGCGTTCCCTTCTTGAGAACCCCGACCAAATCCTGGAGTAACCCTCAAACAACACAACTTCGGACCCAATCGTCGAACCGGACCATTCGGGCTCCTTCGACAGACCCGGGACAGCGAGCCCCGAAGATCTTGAATATCTTGATTTGGGGGTGTGTCAAGATATGGGGGGTCCCCAAAATTGGGGGGCGGGGGTCCTTTCTGGTTTCCCTTGAAACCAACCTACACAAAAGGTACCCTGCAAAAATAAGGACACCCATCTTGGTTGATTGTAGATGGCACCCGCGACAAAACCAAACCGGCGGAGAACCGGGCCATCTATCTTCACCCAACTGTACCCCTTCCCCAGAGGTTGGAGCCCGGAGGGGAATGCGGTTGGTTGGGGGGCGGACACCCCCAAAGCACCTAATATAAAAGCCTAAATCATTGAAACAGGGTTGTGGGGTAATTCAAAACCAGATTGACTCTAGGGATAAACAATTCCTTCCTTTGCCGCCTTCTTTTGAGCGCTCCTTTTTGTTGGTCCCCTCAAAATTGATTTCCCATTAAACCCGCCAACAAACACGTACCCTCAGAAAAAGACGCATATCTCCACAATACCTTCCGCATTCTTTCCAGGCATCCTTCTTTCTAGACAACCTCCGGAAACCCGATCGGGACACCGTCCGGTTTGTTGGAAACAACGATGGTTGAAAACAATGGGGAATCAAACCCGAGAAAGCGGGTAAAAACATTCCGCCCGCCGCCGAAGCCAGGCATGGGAGTTGTAGAAATAGCCCTCCCTCCCGCTGGCTCGCTCGGGCGCCCCGCCACCAGGTACGTCGCGTCTTGCGTCAGGTACCTCCTGGCCTCAAACCAGGCCACGAGGAGCATGAGTGCCGGGGTTTTTTCCGGTTGGCTTTTCCTGAAAAAACTCACGAAAAAGGGGTGCGGGCCAAAACAAACAAAGCCGCGGTCCGACAAAAAAGGTTACCCTCTTTGGTTAAAGTTCCTAAAGTATGTCTATAGAACAAAAAGCTTACTCCTCTTACAATGGCGTATTGGGTTTTCATTTATCCCACAACCTGGGCTTGCTCAAAGCTTAACTTGTGGGTTAAATAGAAACTTCAGCTCAACCTTAAAAACTTAAAAAGCTCAGGAGCAAAACACGAAGACACACATGACATAGTTTGGGTTGTGTTACCAAAGACGCAACCATACTTTCCGCGGCGAAATGCATCAGGACGCCACTCCGTAAAGGTGAGGATGGGTTGTCTCAGCTACGCAATGACTCGCAACATCGCCCACACCACAAACGTGTTTGTTGGAGTTGGGCCAATTCCTTTTTTAAGCATGTTCATGTCAACCACATTCAAACAAGCTCCATTTGGTCTATGTGTCGAGAGGACCGAAAGCTTGTTCTTCAAAGTTCAAACATTTGTGTGCCCAAATGTATTGTGGGAGGTAGTTTGGAGGTGAGTGGAAATCCGTGTTGGCAATGGCAGCTCCATCACTCAGCCAGTGCAGGGGTCAATCAGGTTGGGCTCGCAAAACACGGCAACAACTACGAACCAATGAGCAGAAGAAAAACCAAGGAAGGGAGAACACCAAACCCCCCACCCCTTATCAAAGGGGTATGGGCCTATGTCGGTCAGCGTGGAGACGTCTTCAGTAGCAAAGACTGTCCCCGGTGCAGGAAGCCGGCAGTCATTGCAGCTGTCGCAGCGAACGTTGCGCAGCTGCTTGGCCAAGCCTTCCCCCACAAGATCGTCGTATTTGGCTCACCGATCGAAGGATCCTGAGCTGCGCTTGTTTTGTTGGCACCCCAAGGCCATAGATCCAGCTTGCCGCGTGTACTCCTGCCGCGTCCGTCGGGTCAGCGAAGGAGAGCATGTCACGGAACTTGTCACTGCTCTCTGAGATGAGAGCCGCACTCCACGCGACCATCTCTGCGTCTGTCATGTATTTAACCTCATCCGTAACATCCCTGGCAACCATCCACTCAACTTGGCCATTCAGGGTGCTGCAGCAGTGTGGGTCAGCTGATCAAACAGACCCAGGGAGTTTTGAGATAAAAGGGGTCGAGAGATGAGAAAGAAGGGGAAATAGTGTAGTCAAGCACCAGTGTAGTATGCCCCCCTCGAGGCAATACATCTAAAAAGTAACGGCGGGGGCGTTGGGGGGGGGGCCCTATGACGTTCGAAGAAATGATGATTCAAATAGGGGTGCAATTAGAACTCTGTAAAAGATCTAAAAAGTAGCGGGGGGGCTGGGGGGGGGGGATGTTCGAAAAGTGATGATTCAATTAGGGGTGCAAAGATTCAAGAAAGGGTGCGATAGAATATGAGAAGCAGCGGGGGGGTTGGGGGGGGGCTTTCCTACGATGTTCGAATAAGTGCATACCTACGGACATACATACATGCAAACAAATAAAAGAACACCTGCCGGAGAGGAACTGGTGATGCTGAGGATGCGGGAAGCCAAAGCCAAAAACCAATGAAAGGGTGCAAAACCCAAAAGCCCAGAGAGGAACTGGGAAAGCAAAGGATGCGAAAAGCCAAAGCCAAAAAGCCAAGAAGCCAAAAAGCCAAGAAGCCAAGAAGTCAAAAAGCCGAAAAGCCAAGAAGCCAAGAAGCCAAAAGCGAAAAACAATTCCCCCCCCCAAAAAAAAAAAACTAAATAAAATACCCCTCCCAACCAAAAAGCCCCACCCCCCGCGCCCTAAAATATCAAACAGACCATGTGTTTCATTTCTCCTTGCCCCAAGCCCGGCCTGGCCCTTCAGCGAGTTCTCGCCTTTGAGCACATCCTCTTCCACGCCTTCCACGCGGCCGGTGATGTCCAGCTCGTGCCTCGCCCGAGGAAACGGAGCAAAATCGACTCGGAAACCAAGGGGGGAAGCCACCCAAACATCTAGGGGGTGATTCCTTTTCCATTCTTCTCAACCATCCTTCTCTTCAAAAACCAGCTGTTTCCCCTGGGGTTCTGATGGTTTGGAAAGAATGGGAAGTGTCCCCTAGACAACAGGTGAACAGATCGGGAACCCGCCAAAAGCAAGGGGGGAAACCGGGAGAAAACTGGTTGGACCCATTTAAAAGAAGGGGAACCCTGGAAAGGGAAAAGGGAAACCCGGAAAAAAGGAAACCCGGCAAAAGGGAAACCAACAGGACAACAACAAAAGGAAAACCACCCATGATAAAAAGTCTGCAAATGTTGCGATCTGAAACGATTGGATCCCCCAGTACAGGACCTAGATCATAGCTCGTTTTGCCCCTAGAGCAGAACGAAACCCATCAAATAGGCCCCCCCCCCCACAACTTGCTGGTGCTCAGCAGGGACTGAGGGAATGAGCCGTATAAACCTTGTGGCTTTCTTTCAGGGGACTGTTGGGTGCATTCCCAACACGCATCTCATTCTTGACCAATCGCTTTGCTCTTGAATGACCATAAGCCCTTGCTTCAATCGATCACTCACTTTACCCTCCAGGCACTGTTGGCATCGTCCAAATTTCCTGTGGTCTTGCATGTGCGTCTTCCATCGCACCAGCAAGGAAAAGGGGACACCACACCTTCGCAAGGCTACGGTGTTCAGGGCTGCAAGTCCTGAGAAAAAAAAAGAAAGAATCTGCCTCGCAAGAGTCAGATTGTAGCTCGCTTTGACACCGGGCTGGATCTTGATTAGGGATCCGGTTGGGAGGGAAGGAAGGGACGCCAAATGAAAATGAGGATCCCAAACCGCAATCTTTTCGGGGGGGTCCATCGCAAGGGAAACCACTCCGGCATAAGGGCCTGGCGGACGGATTGCTGAACCCAAGGAGAACCGTGCGAGAGTCTCTTAGCAACATGGCCCGAATCTGGGGCACATGGAATATCCGAATCAAATTGCGCCCACCCCAAAGTACCAAAACATAGCTCCGGAGGCGCTTTGGAGACAAGGAAACTTCCTCCGGAAGGTAATATGAATGTCATAATTACAAATCTAACTGCCACCTTGTCTGGTCCAGACAAGTCAGGTCAAGAGATCACACGGAAATGATTGGTCTTTTTCGTAGAACGTCCAAGTGGTGAAAAAAACTCCAGAAGGTGGTGGAAACTTCCGAGGCAGCCGCTGCGCCGCCGAGAGTCGCATGGTCACCACCTCAGATCGCCCGAAAAGCAAAGAGCAAACCACGCGCGGTGGGGATAAAATCCGAGGCCTTCCCGATCAAAAAAAAACAGAGTTTGGGGAGGTGGTGTGTGTGTGTGTGTGCGTTAAATATATATATATATATATAAAGTCGATCCCACCAAAACCCCAGGACCCAAAAATCATCAAGCCGCAAACCGCCGGCAGCCAGGAGGTTATGAGCGCTCTCGGGCGAGGCGGTGTCTTGCTCTCCTCCTTTCTTGTTGAACAGGGGGTCTGCATTTGCTTCTTGACAACAACTCTGTCCTGCAAATGTTGAAAAAGACATAGATAAAACCAGAACATCATCCCCTTTGGCTTTCCTTGAAGTAAAAATCAAAGTGCTATCAGCAACCAGTTCTTGCTGCAAGCATTCCGGCGCCCTCCGAAAGTGCCATAAGATCCGCAAGCGCCCTGTGAGGATCAGCTGCAAATTGGCAGAATTCTTTGGTGTCCCTTCCAGCTTTCCCTCTGTCCCATGCAAAATGCATGCGTTTACAAGTCCAAATGGCGGGACTTGACAAACTGTGTGTGTTAGACTAGGTGACCCCCAACCTGGGTGGTGTTTTGTCTTGGTTTCCTTTTCAAGCCACCATAGCCACCCAGAAAAGGGTACCCTCAAAAACGACAAGCCCACCCAGAGGTGGCCGTTTTGGAGACAACAACGAAGACCCGGGTCGATCGGGGTGAAGATGAGGCTCACACGGTAGGCGTGGTGGAAAAGTACATCCTGCCATGCTTACCAGATTCAGAGAGAGACGCGGTTGGCTCCTCTTTTTGTTGAGGTTTACCCCCATGTTTGGTGGCTTCAAAGGGCAACCAAAAGGAAACCAACCAATTTGCTCCTGTTGGTGGGTGTTTAAAGGATTATCCAAAGGAAACCAAGCAAGTGAAGGGACCACTATTTTGAGAAACCCCATGTGAGGCACAGCCTGCTTTGAGGTGTGACTCGCTGCGAAGCGACAGCTCTCAGGAACCCCCGCACTTGCTCTTCGCATGTTTGCATAGCAAGGGAGCTGGACGAGCAAGAGGGCAAAACAGTGTCCGGGTAAGCCCCCAGCCTTTTGGATGGCTGATGGGAAACCACCAGGAAACCAACGATGCGGAGTCCATTTGCGGCAACCTGTGGCCCATTCCACTTGCTCCGTCCAGAACTGTAAGCTTGGCAGCCTGTCGGCAATCCCGACTCTCTCAACTTGAGGCTATCCCCAAATAAGAAGACTCGAGTTGTGGAGTTTTTTAGGGAACAGACGAGGAACCCGAGCGAGGTCTCCTGTTTTTGACACTGGATTGGCTACAAGTAGGGGATCCCAGCTTTGCATCCATCTGGATGGACGTTCCCTCAAGCATCCTTGTGCAGGGTTCAAGACTTCATCACCACATCCCCAAACAAACTGGTGGTTGGATCAACGTCGTAACCGCAGAGTATCCCTCCACATGGGTTAAGATGTTGAAGCGGCAGGTTTCTGGCTATCAGAACAAGCGACCCATGAGGACGGTCTCCAACTCGCTCGGGTGTCGCGAGTGTCGCAACCCCGGAATGGTGAAGCAGCCAAACAGCACTTGGCCTTGTTGCGAAGTGAGCTGCACGTCGTCACACTGGACCCCTGGGGTGCTGGGGTCCATCCCTCCAAGCTGCTCTACCCTCAAACATGTTGGCGAGGCATCACAGCCATGAAGAAGGTGGTTCCCTGTGACAGCCTGGGCCGCTCTTGTGAAGGTCACCGGAACCTGCTATCATACGGTGCAGACCTCCAGAAAAACTTTGGAATTTGGTGAGCAACCACCATGTCCTAATTTTGGTGAGTGTGCCATGTCATCCCCTTGACTACAGCAGATGACAGTAATATTTGACCCCATGAGGGATTGATCCTTATATGCCTGCCCAACCAGGTTGACCAGTGGGGATTCCTTTTTCACGCTAAGGGGTTGTCGCCACCAACCCCAAGTCACCTAACGGGTTGGTTTTGATGGGGCACATGTGCGGTTGAGTCACCAGCTCAGCCCTCTACAAGGCAGTCCACAGAACCCGCAGGCGACTTTCATGCGCAAAAAAAGCGCTTGGCTGTTGGTTGGCTCGTGGGCAAACAAATGCGAACTTGCAACAACCAATAGCAGGTTGGCTTGTGAGCAAACACTACATGTCACAAGAAACATAGTTGGTGGGAAAACGCACATGTTCTCGAAACAGCCATGTTAAAAAAAACTGTTGAACACCAACCAGCAAGTAGCGAGGAATGATGGGTGAGCAGGCAGACCGCGAAGCAGACACAACCGACCAACACCATGTAAGGCATGACTCGCAAAGTCGGCTTCTAGTCACGTACTTGCCCAAAGGGCACTTCCCTTTTCAGCTCGCTTTTGAAGTGGTCGTTCACTCTTTCTTCAGGGTTGCAAAAAGTCCCAACTCAAAACGCTAAATTGAATTGCTTGGCGGCTACCAGTGGGGGCCCCCGCTGTGCGATGTTGATGGAGTTGACTCCTTGCGCGCACAAGGGGCGATGTCTCAAGCGACTCATCTCATACTAAAGCATCCAATGACGTGGCTGTGGGTCAAAACCAATGGTATCATTTTGGGGTCCCATTTTAGTCTATTTTAATGGGGATTGGGATGTTCACTGGGTACGATTTGGATTTGACCCATGGCCACATGCAAACAGCCTGCTTCGAACATACCCCAGCCTTTAGATGTTTGAAGGGAACCCAGAGAGAAACCAAAGCAAAGGGAACCCTTGCAAGAGACCAGGGAAACCACAGCGAACCAAAGAGAAAGCATTTTGTGCAAGGGAAACCAAGGGAACCCCAAAGCGAAGGGAACCACACAGTTATGCTTTTTTTTGGGGGGGGGCGAACAGCGAACTCTCGCCTGGTAGGTTTACCTTTCCCACAAAGACCTCCCGGAATGGCCCCTAACCTTTCAGTTGATCTCGAGATGGGCTCGATTCTGTTTCGGGCCAAATTGATACCAGGGCTCCCCTTGGGAGCAGTCCGGAGGACTGTTCAGGGGAAGAAAAAAAAACTTACTTGAGTGCCTTTCACATCCAGAGCACCCAGGCCTCAAGTTGCAGCAGGGATGTGGGAATCTGTGATGCCAATGGAAACCCCTCCCAAAGACCACTGTAGTTCTTCACTAAAAGCGAGGTTCTGGTATCGCAGAAACGTGACAAATCAATTTCCACATTCCCGTCACTGTCTCCCTTGGCTTGGGATGTCCAGCGAGAACAAACCCTTCGCTCTCACAGCGCTGGGAAAGACCGGACAATGTCGTCCACTCCTGCCGTTCTGGTCGAGACCGTCTGGAACCTCGGCCGTTCAGAGGGCCCTAAGCCCAATTGCACGCGTATCCGCTAAAGTAACATCCTCAAAATGACCTTCTGACGGGTTGAAAGGACCCCCCTCCCCTCCCCTGCAAAAAGGGGAAAGAAAGAGAAGAAGTTAGCTTTTAGGTCACAAAGCCCTCAAAATGCAACCACTTCAAGGAAATTGAGCTGTGCCGCGTCCCTTCCCGACCTCTTTGAAATCTGATGGCCAAAGAGCCCCAACCACCCCATAATTTGAGGCTCGCCCACTGAGATGATTCTGCATTGCAAACTGTGAGCAATCCACGGTCGCTGGGGCCAGAATCACAAGTGCCGCTGGCACTTGGGTCTGAGACTCTGAGACGCCAGAAATCAGCGAAGCAACTTTGGCATGCTTTCTTCGGCTCCAAGGTTCCAAACCTGAATTAAGTGGCGCATAGTCAATGTGCGAGTGCCGGCTCCCAGGTGCAACCTATGCGGGCATCAGCATGATTGCAATCGCTGATGAAGCAGGTGGCCTTCTGGAAGGAGGATCGACCGCTTTCAGGGTAAAACGTCTACAAAAACGCAGCAACTTTACTGTCTAGTGCATGCGTGACCAGTTGCAACTACTTGTAACAAGTAGTGATGCCCATTTTCGGACCCACCCTGGGCCCGGCTTCCAAAGCAGCGCTTGAGTGCCAAAAGTGGCGCTCAGGAAAGCCGAGCTGCTGAGACAGTTCCGAACGACTTCTGGGCCACCCTGCAGCGCGTTCACAATCTTTTGGTGAGACTGGAGGCCGTTGAAAGCGTGGCTGTCCCAGTCCTGGCGTTTCGCGCACGCGATCCCGCGATCCCGCCCCGAAGCCAAAGCAAGGAGCCAAAGTGGCAAGCTGCAGGAAAGGCGCGTGAAACACGAAGCAAGTTTGCGCTCACAGCAAAGGATTTTCAGCAGAATTCTGTAGCAAGCTCTGTCAAATCATCAAAATCGGAAATGCAGCAGTACAATAGTACCCAAGTGGGTACCCTCCCCCCGACTTAGCCGATATGGTTCGCCTCGGAATTTTGGGTAGTCTGGTAAGCTTCGAGGCTTACAAACGGGGGTACGTCCCGTAAGATAGGGTGGCGCTTAGAGGTGGCTGTTGTATGTGTATGTCGATATGTATATGTAGAATGTAGATATGTAGATATGTTAGATATGTTAGATATGTTAGATATGTAGATCTACATGGAACCAAAGAAGGGATTCGCCCAAATGGAGATTATGTGGTGTTTGCTGTGAATGGGGGGGGGGGCATATTGAGTTTGAACTGGGCGAAAGTTTGCGTGGGTCAGGCGATTGGGCGGGCGAATAAGTGAATGTGGAGCTGGACTCGAGTTGGTTGCGTATGGGGGGAGAGCTTGAGGGCCGGTCAAGAGGTGGCCGGTGTTTGGCAAGTTCAGGGCCAAGAAAAGTTGTCCTGGTTGACAGCAGTGAAAAGTTCAATGTCCAGCAACTTTGAAAAATATGTCCCCCACGACTTGGTTGCTGTTGACCCCCCTGAAAAAAGTTCAACTTTTTGGGGGTTTAGTGGAAAACCCCTTGATTTCAACCAAACCGTTAAAGTCTAAAGATCCAACGCAATAGCAGTCAAGATGAAAGAGTAGGACCAGCTCGTGTGTTGTTTTAAGCGGAACCAAAGACGGGGGCCGTCTTAGGCCTACAAACCCCATGGCCAATCCGATAGCGCTGGACACCAGTCACGGGGCCTAAAGATGGCCAGGTGGACAACCATTTTTTTCACGCTTCGCCTTGCAGAACGGGTAGAGTCCCCGGCGCTTGCGGAAACAGCAGTCCAGAAGTGGGAAAAATATGGCTGAAAGTGGAATCCATCTATTTCAAGCGGTGAAAAGCATGTCCCCACCTGCACCAGGATGACCACGGTTCCCACCACGTTCAAGGCGATCACCACGATCATCAGCCACATGGTGTGCACTGCCGGGAACATGTGCCTGCGAATTCGCAGGCATGGCCAAACGAATCGCATCGCCCCCCCCCCCCCCGCCCCAAATCCGCTGATCGAATGGCAGGGTCCAGCTCCGGCAACCAACTCATGCTCAAATTTCCAAAGACACGGCAACCACTTGTTCAACCCACCCAAATGGAATTCAGGGATGTCCACGACCCCTGTCCCAAGATATGGGAATCCCAAGTGCTTTCTCGTTGGAGAACACATATTACCAGCGTAGACCCCGGAAAGCAAAACAAATGAAAAGCCATCCATTTTGTCAAACAGGGTGTCCTTCCAAAAGAAGACACCCAACAAAAACGGTTCTAACTTCCATTCCACCCCTCTCCCGGTTGACACCCACCCTTCCACCCACCTCCCCTGGTCCAGGTCGCCGGGCGTGAAGCACCGCCGCGGGTGCTCCAGCAGGAAGTCCAGCACCTTCTTGGTCTCAGAGAAGGGCCTCGGACGTTTCAACCAACGCGTCACGTCACGTTTTCCCTCGAGGCGCTTCACTCAAGCCACATGGGTCGGACCCATGCAAAGCGGCTCGAAAAATCAGAAACGCCGGGGAAGGCCAGGGCGCCAGCCGACAACATGGATAATGGAAACAGATTAGAAACCACGGACTCGGAGGCGCCGCAAACGGATTGCGAGCCAAGGCATGGAAACAGAATGGCCGGTCCCATCGTCCAATTTCCGCATGCCGCACAAGAGCGCAAGGGGAGGTGCACGCTGTTTGCGACCAGGTCTTCTGGAGATGGACCATATTGGGGTGTTTTTCATAACATCTGCGAACCCTCCAGGTGGGTCTCTTGTTGATTTCCCTCTAAACAAGGTATGGTAATCTTGGGAAACATGTTTATTGACTCCACTTGTTCCAAACACAAAGGCATGGGCATCAGTTCTTCAATGACATTCTATTGCGCAACGCTGACAAGAGTTTGTCTCAGAATGAGGAAAACTTACAAACTTGGTGGTTTCCATTTTGAATTCCTGTGCCGTTGGTTTCCCTTTAGTTTCCTTTCTAACCCCAACAGGGGACACCAGGCACCCGGGCACTGCCCGGCGACGCCAGGAGGCCGCGATGAAACGAACCTAATACGAATGGGCTCCATGGTTCCCCAAAGTTTAGGGACCGGGACCCTTCTTTTGGTTGGTTTTAAGGGGAAACTATAAGGAAAGCCATATGTTACTATTTACTTTATTATTATTATTCTTATTATTTTCGGGGTGGAGTCCCCAAGAGCGGTCTATAGTATACTTGAATACCCACACGGGTCATGACCTCATGTTAGGCATGGGGCATTGGAGGCTCCAAGTGGATGGGTGCAATCCTGGACGTTGAGAGCGAATGTGTGCGCGCGGGTTTAGATTTTGAGTTAGCGCCCACTTCTGCTGCTGGGAATA